TTATATATATGCATATCATAATTATCATTTAATTTCCATTTATTCATTTCTTAAATATTATTACTAACAAAGATCGTTTATTCAAGTTATATATATGCATATCATAATTATCATTAAATTCCACTTATTCATTTCTTAAATATTAATTCTAACAAGTATCGTTTATTCAAGTTGTATATATACATATCATAATTATCATTTAATTTCCATTTATTCATTTCTTAATTATTGATATTACCAAATATCGTTTATTCATGTTATATATATATGTTATGTTATATATATTTATTCATGTTATATATTTATATATACATATCATAATGTTATCACATCAAAATACAACAATGTTTTTTTTAAACAATAATGACATTTCAAAAATCTATCGAAAATAAATATATTACTTTATGGAAATATAATATATTGAATAAAGTGAAAATATGATAAAACTTGAATAAAGTAAGGATATGATAAGACTGATAATTTTGTTTGTTGTGATATTAATTCTTATAATTTCTTATATTATTAAGTACATTGCAGCAAGCATCAAAATTCAATCCTGATGAAGCAACAAGTTTATTGGAATGGATTAAAAAAATGAGCGGTGAAAATATTTCAACCGAAGGAACACCTGAGAATTTTTCAAAATTACTAAAAGATGGAACACTTCTTTGCAAGTAAAATGATTGGTTATTGTTCAACAATTTTTTTGCACGATATTATCAAATCTTAATTAATATTATAAATGATTAAATTTAATTTATTATCAATTCGATTAAACAATTAATCTATGATCGATTTAAATATAAAATTTCTTTTTGAAAAAATATTAAATAGCTAATTTGGAATGATTATTAAATAGCTAATTTGGAATGATTATTAAATAGCTAATTTGGAATGATTATTAAATAGCTAATTTGGAATGATTATTAAATAGCTAATTTGGAATGATTATTAAATAGCTATTTTGGAATGATTATTAAATAGCTAATTTGGAATGAATATTTACATAATGTAACATATTTTTACGATCAGATATTTCTTATTATTAAAAAGTTAAAAATTATGCAGCACTAAATTTTATTTCTGCCAGTTAAATTTTTTGGTAAAGTTTTTAAAAACTTGTCGTACAAAAAAAAAAAAAAAAACAAAGCAATAAATTTAATAGCGGTAAAAAACAAAGATTTCGTTTTTTATTTCTTTTTTGAAAAATATTAAATAGCTAAGCTAATTTGGTAATTACATAGTCAACTAATTAATTAATCGTACCTTCCGAAAAAATAGTCAATGATTCATTTAGCATTAAGATTCTTGAAAAAACTTTTAATGTATTTCTGATAAATTCCAAATGATTTCTTTTATGTTCAACATATGATCATTTATTGATATATAATTCCATCCATTATATTTATCATTAATTTGTTAATAAAATCTTTTGTTTTAATGAGAGAAGAAAGTTAAACTAAATTCACATTTTTTCATTATATTTTATTATAATTAATATTTTTGCTCTGAGATTCTAGCAAATTTTTCTTGAACTTTTTAATGACGATATTTATAATGTGAAATTTAATTTCAAATATTCAATTTTTTATAGTGTAGGCGAATAGCTGGTAGGACTAGCTATCAATGAGAAATAGTGGTTTATTTCTTAATGATTTAAATAGTTTTCATTATGAAGCAGATATATATCATTCTTGATATGAACAACTGATAATTATGATGATTCATTATCAATTAATTTTAGAGCAAATATATATCATTGCCTATGTAAACAATTCTGGAGCAGATATATATCATTCCCTATATGAACAACTTATAATTATAATAATTCATTATCAATTGATTCTAGAGCACATATATATCATTCCCCATATAAACAACTGATAATTATAATAATTCATTAATCAAATAATTCTAGCAGCATATATATGTATCATTTCCCATATGAACAACTGATAATTGTGATGACTCACTATCAATTAATGCTAGAGCATATATGTATCATTTCCTATATGAACAGCTGATAATTGTGATGACTCACTATCAATCAATGCTAGAGCAGATATATACATATCGTCCCCCATATGAACAGTTGATAATTGTGATGACTCACTATCAATTAATGCTAGAGCAGATATATATCAAATATTCCTGATATGAATAAACTATTAATTGTGATGATTCATGTATCAATTAAATGAAAAGAAATAATTTTCTTTTGCAACTACAATTAGCATTTTCATCTACTCTTGACAGATGGAAATTTTTCATATTGGAAATTACGGATTGAATAATATAATAACTAATAATAGAAACGATTATTGAATTCCTATTAACAATTTTAGTATTTTAATTTCATTTAATATAATAATGATGAATAATAATAATTAAAACTATATAATTATATAAGTAAAAATGAAAATTTTTCCATTACGATTTTATTTTATTGGTGAAAAAACCAATTATATAATTCTTAATTTTTAATTACTCGTCATTGTTTTAAAAGAAAATGAAATTAAATAATAGAAAACAAATTGTTTGTTTTCAATTAAAGTAGGAAATAGTCTAATTTGATCGCAATAATTCAACTCGTTTTTTTTTTTAAGATATTTAAAACAAAGGAAAGTTTGAAATAAGCTTCTCGCAAAAAATATCTTCTAATGAATGAATTAAGTTTAATTATTGAGCGAATTAAATTTCACAGCATCCTAAATATAATAATAGTAAAAAGAAATTACTAATTCATACTAATGCATTTTTGATTTCAGATTAGCAAATGGTATCGAACCGAATGCTATAAAGAAGATTCAAAAACCAATTTCAAATTTTGCATGCATGGAAAATATTAACGCATTCGTTGCATGGGCTAAAACAGTAGGTGTACCAACGGAAGAAACTTTCCAATCAGTTGATCTTTTCGAGGGTCGCGATCTTTTTTCTGTTTGCGTTACGTTATTATCACTTGGTCGCAAAGTTCGTTCTTTCTTTCAATATAATCGTAATTTCGCCAAATATTTCTTTAGCAATTTAAACTTTTATTTAAATATTAAAATTTTGTAAAACTTTTAAAAGTCATTTTAGATTTCTGAATAATAGCTATCAATTAGTATCACTGTACTGATAGATGGTTACTCTTAATAATAGCTATCAATTAGTATCATTATGTTGATAGATGATTACTCTTAATAATAGTTATCAACTAGTATCACTATACTGATAGATGATTACTCTTTAATAATAGTTATCAACTAGTATCATTATACTGATAGATGATTACTCTTTAATAATAGCTATCGACTAGTATCATTGTACTGATAGGTGATTACTCTTTTCAAAAATAAATTTTTTCTTTAAAATTTATTCATCTTTAATTGAATTTTTGTTTACTTCGTTAACTTGAATGATTCATTTGCATTTTAACCTTTCACCTTTCATTTTAGTATCTTTAAATTTATACATACATTTATTTACTGAAATTTTAATACTATTTAAGAATTTCTATCAGCATTTGCAATATATTTGGGTGCATTTTTTGCATACATTTTTAGAAATTTATGAATTTACCTAAAATTAAGTACTACGTGTACGTGTACCGCACGTATTCAACATTACTAGTTTACTTTTTAATTTCATACTTTAACTTTATGACTATCACATTTCTAGTAATGCATTTTATATATTTACCAAATAATAATAGTTATAGCGGAAAAATGAAATTAAAAATTTTACCCAATTAATTTTTTCCCTTCAACTTAAATCAAATAAATGAAATTTTCATAAAAAATTGTTCAACAAATTATTTCTATTACCATAGAAATGAAAAATCAAATGAACTTAATTAAAATCTAATTTTATTATTATCATCATTACTTTCTATCAAAATTTCAGTTGCAAAAAGCTGGCAAATCGAATCCATTCTCTGGTTGAATTGTATCAATTCGTCAAGCTGAATATAATCTAATTCTTTTGGTCATATCCTGCAACTAATAGAAAAAAAAATGAAATTCATTAAAAAAACAAAAACAAAAGAAACAAAATGAAAATCTTGAATAACAAAAAAGCATAACCTATTTTATTTCATTTTAAATTTTAGGTAATCAATAATTTACAAAATCATTCATCATTGAATGCAAAAAAAGGAAAACGAAACTTTCCACGTACTAATTTATTGCATAATTTGCAGATGCAAAAAAGTGGCAAATCATTTCCTAATGTCATCAAACAGGATTTCGCATATAAAATTCCACAATTGTGAAATATTTTGTGATCTGTCTTGAATTGCTTTTTATTTTTGTTAAAAAATAATTTGCATTTTTTTAAAAAAAAAGAAAATATTTTATATTTTCAAATTTTATCTTTAAAACATAAAAAATTGAAGTAAAATAAATACTGGAGAATATATGTTTTACTGATATGCTTACTGAAATGATAGATCATTTATCAATTTTAAATTATTCTTTCTAAGAGTAAATAAAAATTGTGCTTTTTATCAATTTTATCAATTTGCATATTTGAATTCTTTTATAAATGAATTGAAAAAAAGAGTTCTTTAAATGAGACAATTTGATCTATGCGATAAATAAGTCATTATCAATGATCTTTTATCAAATTTCGTCTATTTTAGTTTATGCTAATTTATGCTAGCAAACTTTTTAATGAATTAAAATATTATCATTATCACTATCAATATGTATCGCGGTATCATAATTGCTTGTGATAAAAAATATTGGTTGAATAAATCATTTGAAATCAATATTGTAATTTGAACCAACTATTGAAAGTAACCTGCGGTAAAAATAAATTAAAACTAACCTCGTCAGCTAATTAAGCAACTATATATTGCTTTCGAGTTGCGAGGCGCTTTACGAGTACCATTCGTGATAGTGTAGCTAAGGAATCATGTGATAGAGAAAACAGAAAACAAAAGATCGTTTCAACATATATTGATAAGTCAATGGTTCAAAAAAAATTTGATAAAATGTTTAATTGCATATTGAGCTTCATATTTTGCCAATTAGTGCTAGATACAAATTCAATTGTTGAACATTAGTGATGCTTCGGCTCCACAACAATTTCAGGCCATCATGAGAAATTGCAGGATAAAAATTGCTATAATCACGATCAGTGGTAATCTAGAATAACAAAACAGAGAATATCAAATAAACAAATTTTTTAATTGATTAACTGATTGAAAATATAATACGGTAGCAATATAAAAAACATAATTTTTGAATTTCATTAAAATTTCAATATGAAAAAAATTTCCAAACAAATTTTTGCTGAAATTTCTACCTGTTCTAATTCGCTTCCATCAATGTTAACAGCAAAAATGTTGAATGTACGATTTGCTAAAATGCCTTTAGAGGCAAACAAAATTCGTTTATTACTCAGAAATGTGGGCCATAAATTTGTTCCATTTCTTGTCAGCTGCCTCAAACCACTTCCATCGTTATGCATGAGAAATATTTGAGTGTTAGCCAGTTCAACAGCATTATACCTGCAGAACTAATGAATAAATTCCGAACCTAATAATTACAAAAATCAGTAACTAACATTTACTATTATAAATAAATAATTAAAAACAAAAAACTGCACAATTTTTCATTAAAAACATACTGATAAATTTTCAGGTAAGACAAAAGAATGGAACTTACTGCCATAATAACCAATAATATTCGATAAGTTGAATGGGTAATGTCGGACGTGAAGCGTGAAAAACAATAAATCGTCCATCGGGGCTTAATTTCGCACCACCCTCATAACCGACAGTTTTTGTTATCTGCAAAGAAAAATAAGAAACAAGTACGGGATATTCTTCAATAGGATATTGATAGCAATAGGATATTTTTCTGTAACAAAAATCTTTTACCCCTAAAATATTCCTAAATACTAAAACTATGAAACCAACATTTTTGAGCATAATGCTTTTCTTCAACAATGTTTTATCCTAATATCCGTGTAAAAATGTAAAAATTGAATTATTTAAAGTCAGAACTAAAATCTATCATTGATAACAACCTCAGAAATCAGATATCGATAAAAATGCGGTATCGAACGGAGAATAAGTCTACGATAAAATGGAATCACTTCCATTCCATGTTATCCGATGAATTAGTTAGAGCTAAAACTAATACCTGTCTAGAATTTTTTCCATCTATATCCATTGTCCACAAATCAGGATCACCATTCCTTCTTGAAGTAAAGATAATATATCTTCCGTCTGAAGATATACTTGCTTCACCATCATAACCTGAAATTCATAGGTTAAGCTAATTTCAACTTTCTCTTTGAAATTCATCACTGATATCATCAAATTTCTTTCATATGCATCTATTCATAATTATGCAATTATTGCATAATTTTTTTAAGAAGAAAAACAGGAAAAGAAATTTTCGCTTCATAAGAATAACGACATATAATCATATCGTAAGCTGACTTCGAGTAAAAACGATAAGAGAGTATAGTGATAGCACCGATAAGTAACTACGAAAATCGACAAAAGAAACTTTACAAAGAGGAAAAACAAATGCATCGAATATATATGCGGCATATATTATACTATGAACGTATGCGATACAATAAATATTATTGTGCAATAATATTTACTTAATAAATGTCACATAACCTGTTGTATTCGTTAGACGTTGAATAAAATTGCCGAACTTGTTCACTTTGATTAGTTCAAAATCCGGATATAAATCCAACACGTATGATAGTTTACCTGAAAAAATATGGGTAACTAATGAATACATGTTACTAAAGAAAAAAGATGAAAGATGAGAATATAGAATACGAAGAATCGTGGAATATATCATACATCTTAGAAATTTTTAATGTCAATATTTCGAAATTGTTGTTCGTATTGTCCAAGTGCTAATAGCTTTTAAGCAATGATAAAGTATGACAAAATGCAGGTATAGGATAATTAAAGAATAAAAGTATGGGTGGGATAATCAAAAAGCAAATAGGGTAGCCAACAAGCAAAATAATCCATTCATCGTGTTCAATAATATAAAAATATAAAAAATCAAAATTAAAAAATTTACAAATTTCTTTTATCCATGATTGCCTTGTATCAGTACATACTCGTCGTGGACAACTGTTTAAAGCAGAACGATTAGCAGTAAGAATATTACTAGCATATATTATAACATTGCTATCAGATGTATATACCGGTGAGCGTGAAGCACCAATACCTGAAAAATTCACCGCTATCTTCTTTCTCTTCCAAAAAAATATAAGTTAAGATCAGCAATGAAATTAATGCATTAAAATAAAGGATTGGAACTGGATTAAAATTATAACGAAAGAGTTACCGGTGCTTAAACGTCGGATTCTTCGAGATGAACTTGTAAGGTCTAAATCGAATACCTAAAAAATGACGTTTGATAAATTATGCCAAAACACAGTAATGAAAATAAAACATCAAATCAAAATATCATTTAATGGAATCGAAAACAAACCTGTTCACACGTTGTATCATAAAATTGAGTACCAAATCCTTCATAAATTATTCTTTTATCATCAAAACTATAAAATATGAAATTGGTTTCCATAAATTAAGTAATATAATCTTTGAAAATTTTTTACGATAAACAAGTCGTTTTCAAAAAGTCTCAGGAATCATTGTCTATTACTGATATTCTTCCATGAAATGCAAAACTTAATCACCACACTGTTATATAAATCAGGTAATAATTGGTTCTTGAAAAAGCTGTGTCATTATTAAATATGAAAAAAGATTCAAATTATAGATGATTCAACCAGGTAATAATTTGGCATGATATTATGAAGTCATATGTGAGTATAGATTTACCTAAAAGAACCAGCCATGTTAATATCACCTTTGGTGAGCTGTTCGACCTTCTTTGGAGAATTTTTTTCCATCACCGCAGATCGCAAATTAAAAAAAGTCGAATTTTCTTTCTAAAAAAAAGACACAATAGGAAACATACTAAAACAAACAATAACCGCCAATTCATTGAATTCACGAATAAGATTGGCGACAATTAGTGAGGACAATATTCATTTTAATTAGTTTAAATAGAATGCTCTTTCAATTTCTTTAATTGAAACATTTAGTATAAAGTCTTTTAATGAAGAAGATTGAAGAAGCAATCTATTCAAATTAATTTTTTGCATATCATATTTTTTTGTATAATATTCTACAGGATAATTTAAAACAGAACACCTTTATCTCATTTCCAATTTTCATCGTATAAGTATCATGCCAATCAGCGATAAAAAGATTTAATTCATTTCGACTTCGTCCATTTCGACTACTTCCCCAAACTAAGCGTCGACCAGTTCGGTCAAACATCGGGAAAGCATCAAATCCACCTTCATTGAAAGTTATCTGTTATGAAATTTGATCTTTTTATCAACATTTTTGTTTTTGAGTATGCACCGAAAATTTCAAATATAATTTATTAGTTCGTTTAAAAACCAAAAAATTTCAAAGTTAATTTTCGATAAATGACAAAATGATTGATGCTACCAGTGAATTTTCCTTGATAATGACAGTTGCAACATCATCAGGAAATGTCTTGCTCTAAATTATTAGACATTTTCACATAGTAACACAAAGAACTAGCAAGAAAAATTTTTACCCGTTCAACATTTCCACCTGCTTCATTAATCATATACAAATTAAATGCCCCAAAATGTCCACCAGTTTCATTGAAATTTGAACTGAAGATAATGTGACGATTATCTGGCATATAAAATGGAGCCCAATTGGAACCACCAAGAGATGTAACTTTTCTTAAACCACTGCCGTCAATATTAATTGTATAAAGTTCCATTTCAAGTGGCGACACCAAATTGTAGCTGAAAAAAACGTTGAATTAAATTAAAAATAAATAAAACGAATGAAATGAATTAAACAGTTAAGAATTTAAAACATAACATAATGAGTTTTCATCAAAAAGTTAATGCTTGATCCTACCTGACGTTTATCATTAAAAAATGATAAGTACCAGATAAGATAAAGCATTGACTTTCTAAAGGAAACGATGCCATAATTAAATAAAGAAATGCATTGCAGAACATCATGATATACCATTATTTTAATGAACAATTAAGACAGATAACGGGATGTTCAGCATACGAGAGTAAATCTTTGTATGTTTGAATTTCGTCACTGGTATTTGGTCTTGATGCACGGAAAACAATTTTAGATCCATCCGGACTGAAAAATGGACCACCATCATAACCAAGTTCATCTGTCAACTGAAATAAATCGTATACTACAATTTATAGAATATGTTATAAGATAAATTTTTGATAATTAAAAAGAAATTAAATAAAATTTCACAACAAACAATAAATGCATACGCAATGAAAAAACAACATCAATCATTAATCCATCAGTTAGGAGTCCAGCAAATTAAAACAAATATTTCAGCATTCAAGTACAGTGATAAAAGATAATGTCAAACCTGTTTTGGTTCTGTCCCATCCGAATTCATAATCCAAATTTCCGGATCACCACTTCTCACTGAGGTAAATACTATTTTCCGACCATCAGGAGAAACAGCTCCTTCCGCATCGTATCCTACTGTGTCGGTCAAACGACTTATAACTGTACCAAATTCGTTCACCTATAATTCGCAATTAATTATCCGGTTAAATTTCGAAAGAAAATGTTTAGTAATTAGAGAAAAATTTTGCAAAATACGAAAAATACGAAAAAATTTCCATGAAATATCAGAAGAAAATTAAGTTGAAAGTAAAAATTTTATTTCCATATATTTGAAAGTTTTCGGAAAAACCTTAAAAATATCGTATTCCGGAAATAGATCCCACGTGTAAGTTGTATTACCTACAAAAAAAGAAGTCTTATTGTGATTTATAATCTCAGCTGTATCATATTAAATCTGTATCATATTAAAATAATCTATATCATATTAATCTGTATCACTTGTATCGTATTAAAAGCTAAAAGCTTTTATTACATCTGTATTTCTTACAAGCAGAAAAAAGAGAAACATCTGTGATATTTCAACTAAATAGTAAATTTCAACATTTACTTCATTTGAATGATTAACTTCGCTCACACTTAATTCCATAATATTAATTTTTTATATCTACATCCTAATTCTTTTCTAAATTAATTAGTAAATTTTTTGATTGTTATTTTGTTGTATGAATTTATTGCTCAGCCTACTGAAAATAATATTACATTGCAAAGGGAAATAATATTAAGATACTATGATATAATTATATGGAAAATAAAATGAAGAAATTAAATAACAGAATTAGTTTGAAGAATTAAACGCAAATTATGAAATTTTAAAGTTCATTTTTCTCATAGATATTAAACCAATGATCTGCATAAAAGATTTTTTCAAAAAATTTTATAAATGTAAAATACAAAAAATGCCGTTACATACAGAGATGTCTTAAACGTGGGTCGCTTTTAGCACGCTGTGTTTGGCACGTTTTCGTCGGGCAACTATCAATATTAATTGATGAGGTGAAATTTGCACGTTGAAATGTTCCTGCATAGATCATATGACGATTGTCTGGATAAAAGTAGGAACAAGTACAGGTTCCGATACCTGGAATGAAGTTTTACAATTGAAATTTTTTTGATGACTTAGAAGATGGAACAAATTTTATTCTACAAATAAAGTAGATATTAGCATAAAATTGCAAATAAATGAAATTAGGAAAGTTAGCTATAACCATAAAAAACAAAATTTCACCTGTGCTTATTCGTTGTGGAACTTGTTTTTCTGGTAGGATAGTTAGATCAAGCTTATAAATCTGTAATTCCATAAAATTATGACTCTATTTCAAAAAGCTGATAGAAAGATGAATCATTAGAAAATTAGAAATGAATAAGACTTATTGAAATATATTTTAGGACTAAAATTTAATTTTAAAATAAAACACTGAAATAAAACACCTGATCGCAAGATGTGCCATATTCCGGTATGCCAGATGCTTGAAATGTTAGCCAATTACCATCAAAACTTAAAATACCTGTGTAATGATACAATTAAATTTTTAAAAGAAAAAAACCATGAATATAAGGAAAAACAGACTCACAAATTTTACCATAATTAATGATTAATTAGTTTAAAATTTCTAATTTATTATTCTATCATGATAGATGACAATAAGATGGTACATAGAGCGATTAAATTTTATTCAAATATTGAGCCTTTAGTGAGTTATGTGATGAGTGAAATAGGTTAACCTAAAATATCCTTCAGCATTTTGTCCACCAAATGTTAGCTGACGAATATTGCTGAGATGATGTTCAGCTGGAAAATGAAGTTTCGAAGAAGTTATTGCTCCGGTCAATAGAAAAAAAGAAATAGTGCTAAACAAATGCATTGGTTGAAATTCTGAAAAATACTATAATTAGCTTCCATTTTTAGAATTTAAAGCCTGATGTAACATTTTTTTTCAATATTAGAAAATAGCAAAGAAAGCTCTTTAAGAATTATACGGAAATTTTAGTTCGTTAATTTAAATTTTTCAAAGTTATAAAAGCATTTAGTAGATTACGTGATGAATAGGTTAACCTAAAATATTCATTAGTTCCAATAAGTGGAATACAAACTCTTAATCAAAGATAAAATTAAGATAAATTCAGTTTAAGATAAATTTCAATATATAAGAGACAATTTTAGAACTATGTAAAGTGTTTCAAAATATTCCGATTATAAATATTGTGATAAATTATTTTAAGCAAATAAATGAGTAGGACGATGTGAAGGATTAAAACAAATACGCAAAGATTCTGATATTTCTACGCAAAGATTCTAGGATTTCGGCTACGCAAAGATTCCAATATTTCGATTCCTACACCAGTTATTACGAACTATGTAAAGTGTTTGAAAATATTCAGATTATAAATATTGTGATAAATTATTTGAAGCAAATAAATGATTAGGACGACGTGAAGGGTTGAAACAAATGTGCAAAGATTCTGATATTTCTACGCAATGATTCTGATATTTCGATTCCTACACCAGTTATTACTATCCTTCTCTTGATGACACATGAAGAAAAATCGGACTTTTTTTCCGGAAACCGCTTTAAAAATCTATGATTGATTATAAGAGTTGAATAGGTAGAATGCCTGTTTAACTTCTCGATGCACAGAATGCATTTTTACTTTAATGTTTAAATAAACAGTTGTTTATTTAATTTCTATTACATACATTTAATTTCGATAAAAAACAAATTTCTCTCGATTTTTTTAACAGTTTAAGATGTAAAACAAATTTGCGAAATGAAAACGAATACTTTATCACAGTATTGCACAACATCGGAAAGTGATAAAAATTGGATACATAAAGAAAGTAAACAATGAGATGTTCAATCATTCCCCGAATATTACGAATTTGAAGTCATAAAATTCAATCATTTCTATTTGAAAAATTCGGAAATCTAACATAGTACAATCTGGCTAATTAATATTTATACAAACAATAAATTAAGCTCGACTTCTTTATATTTACTCATCGTGAACAACTTTTATATGCTCAAGTTTGCTCGCTAGTGTTCGAAAAAGCGCTGCACACAACAAACAGATAGTCCTGACAATGTTATTCAAGAAAGGAGAAGGTAAATACAGGAAGATGATACATCATTTTGAAAAGAGAATTTAATATCACTAGGTAAATCAGTTGATGCAAATCGTTATTAACGCGTATTTATCCTTGAAGGAATACTTACTAATATTCATTCCTAATACTTACTAATATTCATTCCTATCAATTGTTATTATGCCGATGGCATGGTACGATATACTTATCAAAATGGCTTTTTTATATTCGATAAATTGATATCAGCAAGCTTGAAATCCTTGATATGCTGCGATATATTCATGCTTTTCACAGCACTAACAGCACGAGCCGGAGCCGCTGCGATTCCGGCCTAGAAAACTGTTTATGAACTTCCTGACGGTGACTTCGTTATCAATAATGAACATTTGCAGTTAATGAAAAATGAATACTGTTGTTTTTGAAAACTAAAAATTTTCGCTCATGCATACTTCTTCGGAATTTTTGAATTAAAACATGCAGATGCTAATTTCCGAATTCTGAGTAAAGCATATAAAAATAATGAATTTGAACCTCCTCTTTTTCCATCTTTTCTTGTTCTTGTATTCGTAAAAGAATTTCGTTCATATTCGTTTCCAGTACCATCCCTCCCATAACTAATTCATCAAGTATGTGATGCACCTATAAGTTTATATACAGTTAAGCAAACAATAAACAAAACTATCGAAATGAATAGAATTTGATAAATAATTCAATAACTATAGCTCGTCAACAAGAACTTTGACGAAAACGTACCTTATTAATGTGAAAGATCAAATCCAGTTCACAAACATTTTCGAAACATCGATCCAATGTTTCAACAAATACCTGCAGAATATATTTTTCTCGCTAACGCTTCATAAATCATCAACGCTTAGACGCAAGACAATGGATTAAAAATAAAGCTTTAAAAGGTATTTTACATCTACAAAAACTTTTCTTAGTATTAATCTATGCTTATGCATTCTTCGCTTCCTAGTTTCAATTTGGTAATATAGAGTTGAGTAACTAGTACTTTAGAAGGGATCATATAATTCACCTAATCTATTTCTCTTTAAATATGAGGCAAATGAAGGGGTTCTCGCTCTTGCTAATGGCCTTAAATATGTCATGAAGTTTATTTAACCTCATTATTATTTATAATTACTTCCATCAATTACAGCAAAAGAAAACTGTTATTTATCAATCTTGCAGATTTAACCCCACCTCACCTGTATCAGATCAAGAATTCCAAGTTCACTTTCCGATGAATCAACACAAAATACAAAATATAGCGTTGCATAATGCCGATATATTAATTTATAATCAGATCCACCAATTAATGAGCCACCTTCCAAGAAATTGCAAACGTTATCATCTCGTTTCGAAACTAACTGGAATGTTTCGCGTATGATATGTTGTTGTTCTTCTTCAGCCTGCAAATTTAAACAAATACTTCAATTATGTTACATAAATTACATTTATTTTATCTATTATTTAAGAAACCTTTCTGCAAATTACTATTATTGTGTTACTTCATATCAATAAAATATTTTGCAATTATAATGTACTGAATCTTACGAAAGATTAAAAACCAATAGAACACCATAATTTCAATTATTGCCTTGCAGATAATCAGTATATTCGGACAGAATATAAAAAAATGACATTCACTAGTCTCGCAACTACAAAGTAATGCATAATTCAGACACATCGATTAATTTTATCAAATCTCATGGTATGTTGGCAAACACTTTCAGTACCCGCATTCATTTTCCTTTCACCAGAACATCACTAACGTATCCCAAATAAACAATATAAGGTTCTTGCATTCAAACAAGATTAACCTCTTCTATCAATAATCAGCAAAAGAAAAAATAAGAATGGAAGAATTTAATTCAGCGAACATCACTATTACTGATATATGACTTATAACCTACATATTCAACAATTCATATGTTAGCTGTTAAGATTTTTTTTTTAACTTACATAATGGACGTAAAATTTCAACAAACGTGGCTTTCCATGATTATTGAATACCAAAATTGCTTTAATCATTCTTTCCAGTAGCTTCTCTTTCTTGCCAGTCTTTTTTCCTTTACCGATTTCGCATACGATTCATTTATTAATCATCTTCTCTCCATGAAAAAATATACAAATATTTATTCTATCGAATTGCTTGTCAAATTTTTTCAAAATTTAATTCACAGTAATTTAGCTAACAAATTTAAAATAAAAGATTAATGCCAAAGAGAAATAAAAATAATTGTCCAGTAAGTATTTAAAAAATTAAAAATAACTGTACGTACCAACAAGAAACGAAATCGCTTGCCCAGTAAACATCTAACTTATTCTGTTAATGGTTGGCACATACAGCTGTGTAATCAATATTTTGGGTACACGCAATTACAGCGGTAGGGAGTGTTGTTTTCGTATGTGCTTGTGATAGTAAATTGGTATGAGTTACGTTCATTTTTTTAACGTAGAAGTTTCAGATATATTGTATGCGTACATGCGTGGTTGTATTCCTATTTCAGTCAATAATTCCTGACTCTTAACGTTTAATCGTCAAAAATTTGCTGTTAATTATTTGTAGAAAAGAAAATGGAAAAAACAAACTTTATTTAATTAACATTTATGGTCATATGTGATTTGTTTTCACGCTACGTAATTAATAAACAAAACGTTTATGAAACATTTGTCATTTAGCATTTCGTACTCCACATTGGTGTGTTTTGTGATGGCAGCGCATAAAACGTTCATCATTAAGCGTAAATTGGCGAAGAAGGCGAAGCAAAATAGGTAGGTATACCATACCATTTTGCAACCGATTAAATTGTCTAATGAAGCTTTTTCTTGTTACGAAATCAGCTTCCCTTGCACATAATTGGTTTGTGGAGTCCACTATCGGTAGCATCTTATCTTATTCATACCAAATTATTTTTAAACTAATTCATTTCTAGTATGGCACGCTTTATAGTGAGCACTGACGTGTACATAACATTTCATTAACTATAGCATTGTTTTGTTTTAAAACTTTGACATCTTTTAGACCATTGCCCCAATGGGCTCGTATGAAGACAGGAAGTAAAATTCGTTACAATGCAAAGAGAAGACATTGGCGCCGAACAAAGCTGAAGTTGTAAGAAGTGTGTTGCCTTTTCACTTTGCTACTGAAGAATCCACGTTGAAATTGTTTATCTTTCGCTAATAAATAAAGTTTTTTTATATCTGTTTAGATATGTAAATCAACCAATAAAATCAGTGGAGACATTCTTGACTACTATTTCCATATCGAAGCAAGTAGTAATTTGGTCAAAATTACTGCAAATTACACAGATTACATCGGCAAGTCATATACGGATCCATTGGTTACATCTTTTGGTGCTAAATGACACACATTCCATACCAGTATTAAGTTAGACTAATTGATAGTTTTGTGGGTCATATTAAGTGATGTATACAAAGTAGAGGTTATAAAGTGTCTTCGATTAGGACTATATGAGTTTCTTAAAAACATAATCCCACGTACAAGGGGACAGAGAACATAATACGAGATGACCTCATAATAACAATATTTAGGTACTTAGTATGGGTTTTGAGCTGGATTTCCGTATATCTGAATTGTGCGCTTATTTATTCATCGAGCTTGTTTGCGTTAAACATGATATTGGAATACGCAAAGGATTACTCGGGTTTCACATACCGTGAGTTAACACCTTCCCTAATTTCAAAATATTTCAACAGTCGTGTATTATTGCATTCCTCGATCTCCACTGTGAACCACATCAGATCTGACTCACACGAATGGGGATTCCCATCTCAGCAGTACCATTTGCCTAGTAGCGAATTTGCACTTTCGTGACTAAATACGTTCTCAATCTGAACGCTAGCGAAAATCACTTGATGTGTGAGTGCACCTTACGCGGAAACTCTTGTATTTTGCACTACTTTGCAAACTTGCATATTTTCGTTATTTCGAGTTCAAAGTCCACATTAAAAAGACTGCCAATAAATAAAAGATTTTCGTCGGAAGTGTTTTTATTGTTTTATAACTGTTTCACGAAAATTAATTGGAAATGTTTCGCAAATCACATCATGAAAACAAAGATAAAAAATCGAAACGTAGCAAAATGAAGTCCCAAAAGAATAGAATCAATGAAAGCCGAAATTTGTTTTAAGATCAATTCCCAATAATTTCGAGTTATCGATTTCAAGAACTATCAATGAGATCAGGGTTTACTAGATGCGTGAAAGTAATCTCATGTAGGAATTAGGTCGAAAGAAATCTCAGATGAGCAGAGTAGTTTTCCTCTTAGATTTCATTTTCCAAAACCTCTAATACATAGATACATAGCAAGACAGAAATTATATTTACGAAAACTTCGCTTGCGAAAAGTCCATCTCTGGATGTTGTTCCATAAACCTGGAATTAAAATCATCTTTCGAGAAATACATTTTTGGATACTGAAAATTTTAAAAGGTCCGTGAACATATGCCACTAAAATGACCTAATGGGAACTTGAAATTAGGATTCTACTAATCTCTTTTCACCTTCAAGTACAAGTAGTCTTCCTGAATAGCAAAGTCGGCAGTATTAAATACATTAAAGAAACTTACGTTTTCAACAAATCTCGCTTTTTCTTCTCTTCCGATGTTGGTAATCCCAACTCTTTCTGTCTTTGGTCATACATCATCTGAAACCGGGACTAATTTCTTTCAATGGATAGAAAAGATTTCAATTTTTTTAAAGATTCTTTCAATAGTCAAAATCCATTCTAATCGATTCAAAAATATTTCAGATTACCTTTTCAACCATTTGTCTTGTTTCACCATCCAAATCAGAAAGCTTCGAATTTTCAGGTTGCACCTTTTTGGTATTTATTTCCGGATCCGTTGTCATCAATCGATTCCACCATTCCATACCATTCACCTGAAATTTTTAATTTATTGATTTGACGACTTTTGACATCAGGAAAAAAGTCCGGCACTTTATATATCCTATGCATATAAGAACACTCTTATATTTAAACTGCAATTTTATAGGTATTTTTAGACGTTAAAGAATCTTTACGTTTGCGCTTCCGTACAGAAACAGCTAAAAGAAACTAACCTTTTCTAAAGTAAGCACAATAGTCTTCCGGTCTTCTAGAACCCATGTTGCGCTTTCAACCTTTATAGCAGCACGTAGAGAGCCATTGATTATCGGTTCATGGCCCTAATAAAAAATACATCCAGAGCAGATCAACCAAAACAAAGATTTGCAATATCGGTCATTATTTCATTCAATAATGACCGATATTGCAAATCATATAATGCGAAATGTCACGACATAGATACTTAAATGTGTCATTAGTGTTAAGATATAGAAATGCAAATTTAATTAAAAAGACTCACTTTCAGACCAACTTTTAGCTTTTCTTTACCGAATTCTACAACAACATCCTTTGCTTTCAACAGAAAACCAACTTTTAGCGGAATACGAACCTATAAAAAAACCGAATACTTATGGAGGTTCTTTTTTCCTAACTCTCATTCTTTCCGCTGAATATATCTTGTTAATCTCTGTCGACAATGCAAAAAAGGTGAAGATTTTCTACCATGCAACAATATATTATATATATATATATTTAACATTCATTCATACATCACATTGATGAATTAGAATTATCAAAACTGAGCCGAAATAGTGACGATATATACCTCAACTTCACTTAATGTTTGGATCCACTGATATTTCTCCAAATCACAACCATTACCAGCGTTTGGTTTCAACTTTCCTTTATCTTCCGGATCTTCCTCCTCTTCTTCACCATCTTTATTTTTACCATTCTCTGCAATATTTATTCATTTTGAATAATTACTTTAGTGTACGACAATAGGAATACTATCATCACTTTTTATAAACAAAACATTTTATTTCACTTTCGCTTAATACAGTAAGGGAAAAAATGGAAGGAAATTTGATATAAACCTTCCGGGGTTGAAGTTTTCACGCTACCATTCTTCATCTTCTCAAGTTCCGCAGCTTCTTCATCAGTAATTTCACGAATCCGTGGCTCATTCATCTCGGCTTCCTTCAAAAAATATGCTCCATAATAGTCAGAATTTAACTGATATGACTAAATCTACCAATTATTTCCCATAATGTCCTGTGGAAATGGAATTTTATGATGCACATAGTTATGCAAAGATCTTCCAGACAGGATAAAAGCTCTAGACATTAAAATTATTTGTTCAAATACAAAAAAAATGAATAAATTATTTTATTATTTTAGCCACACCTCACAATTCATCCAGTTTAGAAAACCAATTCCAAATCGAACTCGTTGAAAAAAACTTGTAAATATGAATTACTTAATTGAAAAAAATTTTCCTGCTCCTTTTCGTCCACCCCTTTATTCCAAACAAATAAAGAATAAACTAATACCTCCTTTGCTTTCTGTGCTGCTCGCCGTTCATTCAAACGCTTTTGCTCCTCAGCACGTCGCTTTTTGGCTTCTTCGGCAACCTTTAAAATTAGCAAAATTCAAATCAAAATTAAACATTTTTACTCCAAATCCAATCATTTATTCAATGCAAGTTTTTACCAGTTTCGCCGATTCACTATGTTTATCAAATGCCTTCAAGACCATTTCTTTAGCTTTTGTGATATCAGCACCAGTGTAAAAATCCGTCTTCCGCGAGAGGAAACTAAAAAGCAAGTAATAATTAGGTATATGAATTTCTGATTTTAACTTAAAAATGAAGTAAATTGAGTATTATTCATGCTGCCATCATCAATTACATTAATTAAAACACTGTAACTTTGAAGATACAAAAACTGCACGAATTAAAACTTTAGAAGTTTGGAAAACAATTTTTCTTTAAAAATTGATGAATGATGAGAAGTGGATAAATTACCCGAATAATACATCCAAAAGTTGCGGCACGCCACCTTCCATTTGTTGAGCCAAGCTGAGGAGGATAGTATCATACTTACCGACTTCATCCATTGTTACTATAAATGCTTCTTTAAAAATTAGTAAAAATTTGCTACCCCTTACAAGTCCGAGTTTAGATTAGGAATTAAGAATAAGAACTAATCCTCTGGTCCGTTTACCTTATTCTATCGTACTGCATCCCAGACTTTCCCTCACGCTTGAAAGGAATGGAAACTGGTGTAATTACAACACTTAAAACATTTCGGTATATTGGAGGTTGTAGCAAGACTTAGATGACTCGGATTTAAGAGGTTACAAGAAGTGAACTATGGGCCACAATATGAAGTCAATTCCGTTTATGTGCCAACTGGGCCCACTACCTCAAAGGATCCCTAGCAACCACAACTCATATAATTCAGTCCTTTCTCTTTCCATTCTCGCACTCTAATTTACAGAATCCATTTAAATAATTTCAGTAATGGTGGTGGCTATCTAAATAACAAGTGAAACACTTAAATTCCTTAAAACTATAGCACAAATATACCAAGGAGTAGTAACGAGAAAATTGTCACATGAATGAATGAAATACAAAATTAACAGACATTAAATGCACTTGTTCACTCGTAACTTGAATATAATGATTCAGCCAATAATTTTATCTAATTCTACAAATCTGTGTTTCTTTGCTTACGTGAGATATTCATTTCTACTCCTCGAATCACTATGAAATTAATAAGTATAAATTAACTTAAATACAATTAAATTCCGTGATAAAAAATTTTTAATTCTAACTGTCCTTATTAAACATCACTAAACTTCATAAGAATATGAAATTTCATTTCAACTTTAATAAAAACAAACAATGCTTACTATGTCTAAGCAAAACCAATGATGTAAGGTACAGGTATTATTCAATCAATTTCTGGGTGACATCTTACCAAAGTCAACTTACTGGGTAAGTGTCAATAAATATCAAGATGTCACGAAAGTCAACTGGGTAAGTTGTAGACAATTTTTTTAAAGTATCCATTATGATCACAGCATAATTATGGATTTCATGGGTAGGGAAGATAAGGCTAACGTATGATCATAGCACACTGCAGGGATTCTTTTAACATCCTTCCTCGGACCCTCAAATAAACTCCCGGTATGTTTTTAGGGCAAGATTAGCTAACGTCACGTTGGTAAATTACGGATGACATGTTTCTGTTTGTTTGTGTTCATGTATTTTTCATTGCCATTTTACGCAGGGTCGCAAATGAGTTATGTAATGACCTTTTCATTCTATTAGTTTACTTTGTCATTTTAAATTGACAATTATATGTGAATATTTATTTATATGTTGGAAATATACAGTCATATACTCCGTGAAATATATTTTTATCATTAAATTGATCAACATTTCCATTTTATACATTAAAATTACAAAATGTTTTTTGAGTATAAATTAGGGCATCCATTATTTCATTTTCTATGTGTATAAAATTTATACGTTTATAAAAGAGCGTCATGAATTTGTTTTTAAGTCCAATATTTCATAAATTTACTCTGTCAACATTTCGTCAATAAATTTTTTCTTTGTTTTTAATTTCATTTATTATATATGTAACAAATTTATTATATATTTATTATATATGTAACGAATGCAACAAATTATATGATTACAAAGTAATATATAATGAATACAAGAACTAAAATTCAAATGGTAAGTAACAGAAATCTACGTGAAATGTTATGTTCTCATTAAATGAGCATAAATTAATTGCTTTTATTTTTTATATCATTTAGATATTATGTTGTTGTGCAATCGTAACATATATTCTATTTGTTCCGGATTTTTATATCTTTTTTTCCGAAATAATTTATTTCATATTTTAGAAATATCTGTATTTTTTTCCTAAGTAGATACTTTTTAACTTTACGCTTCACATTTTAATATGTTCTTTCGTATTGCAAAATTTTGAATATATGTGAAGAAATAATAAGCTATTTGTCTACAAACCACTGCACATATTGACGTTGTCAATATCTTTCTTTTCCAGCGGCATGCATTATTTTATGTTGAGTATAGGATGAATTTATATGAGAAGGATTGAAATTTTAAACATATTATTGATAAAATATAAAATACATTTAGGATTATTAATTCGTTCGAATCTACTGCTACAATCATAATGCAAGTGAAATTCTTTTTTGGCAATTTCAGGATGTTCATGCGAAGTATGAATTATTTTTGAAATTGGAACACGAGTTGTTAACTAATTATGCCGAAAAAAAAACTAAGAAGAAATGAATTCATTCAAGGTATATTTCTATGAAATTGATAGGTACAGCTTATACGATTTTAATTAATTGTAGAAATAACACAGTTCATTATAAAATATTTAAATGTCTTTAAATTAAAAATTACATCAATTTAATTCTCTACGTTAGATAGCTATTTCAACAGAAGTGATATGGACGGTAAAATACTAAGCTATTTCAGTTATAAGCAGTGAGTTAATTCCATGCACATGATAGTCTTTTTATAAATTTGCTCTATTGCAGAATTAGAAAAGCAACTACATAAATCAGCGAAACAAAAAGATGATCGAAAAACGTGCGATTTGTGTGTAGAACTCGCCGATGAGTATCGACGAATTGGTGGTCTGTACGAAGCATTAAGTTATTATCGGAAGGGTGTGGAGCTTGCTGAAAAATTGAAAATTTATGAAAATGCCGTTTTTGCCCATCGAGCCATCGCGGAAATTCTCGTCGATCCAGGTATATTTCCGTAAAATTTTCATGCTAGTAATTTGAGCGTAATTTGTTTATATTAATAATTAAAATTGCATTAGTTGACCTTGTTGCTTATGTAATCCTTTATAGCTATACATTTGATTTCCTAATGATATGACCGCCGTATGCTGGATGCTTACATAAATTTATTTTTACTCATTTACGTCATGCTGCTAATGTTGTTTGATATGCGATTTTACTTAAAAAGCTGGTTGTCGATATTAGAAAAAAATTCGAAACTACAATGTAATTGTGGTTGTTGTGTTGGTTTGAAGGCTTGAAAATGTCATGTTTATCAATTAGCGGTCTTACACGAAATTTTGTGTGTTCAGGTATCCAGGAGAATAGTAAGGCTTTAGAACATGGGAAGAAATATTTGGAAGCAGCAAACAAATCTGGAAAAGTCCACTTCATCCAACTTGCATATCATGTGATTGGCTGGCTTCATCTCCAAATCTATCTGAATTCAAATGCAAAGCAGGAATCATTACTAGAAAAAGTAATGTGTTTTTTGCTCCATCTTCAGATATATTTGGGAAGGAGTGTTGAAACATTATAAAAAAAGTGAATTTTTATCTGAAAATCCTTCCGGATTTATCCAGATATGATTTGATGATTATCAGCATGCTTTTAGGCTAAACAATGGTGTGAAAGAAGTCTTGATTATTTATCAAAACATGCCCTAGATATTGATTGTGACAAAGAGTAAGGATTTTTGTCTTTTTCAACCAACTTTAATTAACTTATTAAGTTAAGCTATTAATAAATTCTATGCGATCATCTGGATTATACTGTCATCCTGATAATGTGCAGTTTTCGGCGAACTTGGTCATTTGACTGTTTCATGTGGAATATATTCATAGATTAATTGATATCATATGACTGAACTAGCATATTCGATAATGTGATCTTTATCAAAAAGATGAGGCATTATCTTCTAACATTCAAGTCGGAACTTAGGAGGATATAGTTGGGCTTGCTCTGTTATTATCGTAAATATTTGCAAATGTTATATCACGATGGCACACTCAGATCGTTTCTGTTGGGAAGCAATTGTTATGTATAATTTCGATGAATTATGCGTAACAACTACTTTCCCACAACTAGTGAGGACTTTATAGTAATTATCGTTTCATAAGTATTTTCTCACTTCGCAGTTATTTTTTTAGATTTCACTGTGTGAAGTTAAACTGAAGATTAATTTGCTTATTTTAGTGCTGTGCAGATGGGGCAAGATTCGAGGTCAAGGAAGGCTCGACTACAGCAAGTACTGTCGCAGATATGTGATAAAATGAAATTGTCAAGTTTATCAGTGCGTTATCACAATGGAGCGATGGCTTATGCAGCGTATGTTATGTTAAATTCTTGCTCATTTTGAGATTTTGTTAGATTTTCAAAGAGTTACTTTATACATCTAAGATTAATCTTATATAGCGTATGCTATACAAAATTCATGCTGAATTGAAATTTTTGACAACCCATAATTTGTATATCCGATATTTAGTCATCATCCACAGTTTTAGGCAAAACCGACTACATAGATGTATAGAGAATCTCAGTTTTCCAACTACTTGTTTATTCGATTATTTTTTATTTTTTGATTTCTATTACTTTAATAATTCCTTTACTTCTGAATAAATATTAGAATATCGTTCTTTACTACTATCATACAGGGTTAGGTTTTCAATTGTATTATATACCATAGTATAGGTTAAAAAGCGAAATCTTTTATAGGCGTGCAGGTGATCATGACTTGCAGTATCGCTGTTTACTTTCAAAGATGAATTTTTCTGGTGATCAGCGTTTGAAAACTGCTATTGAGCTGGTTCATGTAGCCGCCAGTTTAGATCAGCAAGCATTATGTGAAGCAAAATTCATATTAGCTCAGGTATAAATATAGCTCCAGTTTACATAAAAATTCGATTTCATCATTTCGAAATTTAAATACTCTTTCTTCATGTACCAATGTGATTTATTTTGAAGGAGAAAATTAGAGCGAAGGATTTTGTTGGTGCAAAATGGGATCTCATTTCAATGTTAGCTTCCAAAGGACATGAAAAATTGGATGCTGAGGAGCGAAGATTTTTCTATCAAATATTGATAACAGGTGATCTTTCATTTCATCAACAGAAAGTTGAAGCTTCATGATTTTAATTTCCCAATGAGATTTATAGTTTCTCTTCATTGGCCTTCGATGTTTTAGAATTTATAACTTTTTCATTCATTTATATACTGGAATATTATGTGAAACTGTTATCCCTGTCACACAGTCCTAGTAAAACTTTCGGTCATTTAGCTTAAATTCATTTCCTGTGAGTTGTTTTTGATGTAAGTAAGGCTAAAAATATTTGTACTGAAGTTTAGTGCGCTATCGCTCAGATTTTATAATTCTTATATAATGCCAGCCAACAAGAAATTTCTCTGTGTATGTTGCTTGGATTGCGACACTTTAAATTTAGCTAGTTAGGAGTGCGGGATGTTCCAAGGACACCCTCTTGGTTTCATTAAGCAGGAAATTATAACACTGTGGAACGGATTGCATTGCTAGATGTAGTTCTAATGGAACGGATTGTATTGCTAAATGCAATTTAACGAGCCTTCAAATGGTTTAGCATTCATACATTACAAACCTTCATTTCTTTTTTGCCGTACGCACTTACGATTTTGCTTTACTCCTGATTTCTTGATTTCATAAGTTTGTCATTTTAGTCTACAAAACGATTGAGCGATTGAGAGTGCTGGAAAGTGCCGACGAACAGCTTAAGATGAAGATCACTGAGAAAATTGCAGATAGCTTGTATGAGGTATACCTATTTTTTAGCACTTTTCTCTTTTTTACTATTGTTTAAGCTGTGTTCATTTATGAAAATTTCTGCATTAAAAAAAAAGAAGTTTTGCAAGAACTTCCATTTGCAGGCAGGATTTTATGAAATATCGCTCGAGTATTACAAAAAGATGTTAGTTTATGCTTGCCAAACGGAATGTAAAATTAAAGCTTTGGTGTCTATAGCAGAAACAGCAAAGGAATTAGATCGTTACGAAGAGGCATTTAATTGCTTTGTCGAAGTTGAAAGTCTTGAAAACACTTTGAATATAAGCGATGCCAAGGTATAGATTCTAATTTTTCTAATTTATTTGAATTAGTGTTGGAAATCTTGAAGGATTTACATTCAATTACTTTTGTAACTTCTTATATATAAGTTATAATTCCTTATAAAGATAGTATACCTTTATAAGAAATTTTTCCTTAGTTAAGGGAGATGAACTTTAGAAAAAAGATAAATAACTTGTATGGATAACGTGAAGTTTTGTGAAAGTGAATGCGTAGTTAATTGAGCAAATAACACTTTTGGTAGTAGTTAGCGTCGAAATTCGAATTTTTATCAGATCTTCGAGATTAACGAGAATTATATTGCATTTAGAAAGCTGATACAAGTCTTTGTATTGCTAATGCTGCTGCAAATATTGATTCGTTCTCACCGAAGGAAGTTCTGAAATTTTTCCGGAAATCGGAATCCCTTGTTATTTACAACCGTCAAAAAGTAATTATTTTCATTCATCTAATAGACATGTTTTAGGAAGTGAACTAAGTCATTTTGTGCTTTAATTTTAAGTGTAATGAGAATTGAGTGCCATATATTTACTTAAATAAGTAAAATTTGGGTAGTTTATATGCTTTTTATAATTTGGTAATATATGTTATCAAAATGTTGACCCGAAAAACGGCTGAAATTGAAAAGCAGATGATTATGAAGTGTCAAATAATTTCATTTTTAGAGAACTTTGTATGAAAACATGTTGGCATATGTGAACGACAATGATGTAAACAAAGATTTGCAAGTAGAAATTGAAGCGAAACTTGAAAATCTCAATAATAATGCAGAAGACGATGACGGGGAACCAGAAAGCGATGAGGGAAAAGATGAAAACTTCGTTGATGAATGGGACGATTTGAGTGATACACAAGTTTTGGCTCGTTGTCACGGTTAGTATAATTTTTCATTTTGCATTATTTTTAACATAGGTGTCATTTTCGACACTGTTCAGTTTCTTCAAACGAAAAATAAGAAGGTACATACGTTGCCAATAGAATGTTTTTTGTTTCATTTTAAATCTTTAATATTTTCAAATTTTAGAAGAAGCAAGCCGTCATAGTATGGAAGAGCGTATCCGGTCCGAGAAAGATAAGAAAATCAATTTATACGGTGAAACACGAATGCATGAAGCTGCTCGCGGTAGTGATACCATGTATTTGAAAATGCTTGTCGAAATGGTTCACTATAATCTTTTCCTTCTTTTTGTATATTTTTTGCAATCCACTGATAACCGAATTGAACAAATATTTTAATTAGGTGTAGTTCTGGTGGTTTCCTTGATGAGGTCTTTCAGTGCCGGTATCTGATTATTTCACTCATTTTCTCGAATCAGTTTTCAAGCAAAAGTGCTCACATGACGTTTTTCTCAAAATTCTTTTGTCGGTTGCAGTTAGTTGAAATATTCCTGAAGGTTTAAATTTTCAAATATATTCATTTTCTTTTCTTTTTTGAAATTGTGTTGTAATTTGTTGTGTATGACCTGGAGTTTTTCAGGGGTACAATATAAATGCTCGCGATGAAGGTGGCTGGACACCGCTACATGAAGCTGTTGGAGCGTTAAAATTTGAAAATGTTCGAATTTTGGCTCAACTTGGTGCAAATCTTAATTTGCGGTCAAATGAAGGAACTTTGTCGGCTGATGGAGAACGAACAGTATGTTTCATTTCTCGTCTATTCCAGTTTATTCACATTGTCTGTTTGTTCCTTTGGTGATTCGTTTTATGATAAAAATTTAGAAAAGTAAGTGAAATTCAGCTTATTGTTGAATATTTCATTTAAAGACTTTTGACATCTTTGCTTATTTTTATTTAACATTCAAAAAATAATTTTTCGCTTTCATATTTCATTCACTTCAAGTTTTTCAGATTTGCATTTTCAGAAAATGAAATGTATTGAAATTAATGTTCTTTGTTTTTCACCCCTGAATTTTGCTGTAAAAATTTCCAGGATAGTGGTGGTCTAACTCCATTAATGGAAGCATGTGATCGAGGTGCTACAGCAATCGTTGACTTATTATTAAAATTTGGGGCGAACGTTGCAATCAAAAATCGTGATGACTGGACTGCGCTTGATTTTTTTCGAAATGCAATTAAAGTGGGAATGGTTGAAGATGATGTTATTGAGGAAGCCAAACGACTTGTATCAGTCATGGAAATGAAGCTAAAAGAAGGTTTCGTAATTTGTTTTTGATATTTATGCGCTTCTAATTCATTTTTTTGAACTTTTTGATATAAATGTTTAACATCAAAGTTCTCGAGATTTGTCGCATAATTTTCAAAATTTGAGATAAACTGTGTAAGCAGATTTTTCGTTTTAAATTAACATCGTGTTCACAAAATTACTCAAAAATCTCTCCATTACTCTATAAATATTGAACAGAAATTTGAAATTTACGTTAAATGGATTGTTCAAAACAATTTTTGTTTATTTGATGGTCGTTTTTTTAAATGGATTTCTATATTGCTCAAAATTTTCACTATCATTACCTTGAACTCGTCTTTGATTTTGTTAACTTTAACGTTAATAACTGTTTCAGTGAACATAGTCGTAAACGCTGAGCCACCGCCGAAAAAGCTCAAATTAAATGATAAAATAAAATCAAAGACACATGCGAATGCCGTGTCTAGAAAAATAGTTGATTCAAATGTGTCAAATTTGCATGAATATCGGAAAACGATGAATGTTGTGGGACGTGGAGCAACACATGATCGAAAAAATGTTCTACTAGATGTATTAGATACTGATGATGCTTCGTTTAATGAGGTTTTTATCCATTATTCTTGAGTAGTGCTAAGTTTTAGTATGTTTTGAGTATTTTAATAATATACTTTTCGGATTCGGTATAATCTGATATCGTATGACATCTCTGCATGTTTTCAACATATGGTGCTAATAGTTTTACGGAACCAGCATTCCAGCATGTGAGGCATATCTTGTTGACTTTGTGGAATGTTTTGAAGCATCCATTTCGCGTTTGAACTATATTTATCCTTTTTATTATTGACTATTGTAGTGAAATTTGAGAAGAACTTGGTGTTGCGCAAATAAATGCACAAATAATAAATGGACATAGTTCTTTCCATTTTTTTTCCTACAAATTTCAAGTATAATCCATGATGACACATTTTAGGGTGAAGGGGATGAAATGTGGCATACAAGACATTTGCCTCCAGTGGACGACGCACTTATTGGCATTGATGATTTCACTGAATTTCCTTCTACTCATCAAGCTTCATTGTCCTTTTCATCCAATTCCTTGCCTCCGTTATTAAACAAGCAGCAAATTGCTAAAACTGAAAATGGTTTGTTTTTAATTTTATTTAATTCTACGAGTAATTTGTTTTTGTATAATTCCGAAGTTTTAAAAATCGTGTTTGAAAGATTTGGAACTATGAGGTACTAGTTAAATATAATAATTTTTAATAAATACGGAGGAGATACAGCAGTTGAATCTTCACTAAAATTTATGTTATTTCAAAACGATAATCGGTTTCAGCGGAAACTACCGCTCAGGTCAAGCGCAATTTTTCGACAAATTTTTCTGACGAATTGCCATGTAATTCTGGTTCTACACCATTACGTGAATCTTTTACTACTGCGGAATCCAGCAGAAAAAGCCGTCTGAGAATAAAAAGGTTGGTACTTTATTTCTGAAAGTTTCTCAAGGATGTTTACAATGTATTACACTTTCTGCATAGCATGGTTTCATAGAAATCAAATCTTACTATCAGTTAATTTTGTTTCATACACCAAATTGGTTTGCTTTCCGTTATATTGGGTTTCAAATATACTAAAATTCATTTTCAGAAATATCGAAGATTCAGATGATGATACGGTGATCTTAGGCCCAGCAGCACGAAGCATACAAAGTGGAAGCACTTCAAATACAGAATTGCATCCCTTCGAACCAATAAAAGAAACTCAACGTTCCAATAAAAGAAACTCAACGATTGCTAGTAGTCTACAAGAATATAAAATGCCGTCGTCATCATCATCATTCTCTGCGCCACCAAGTGTTAAAAATCAAATTTTTGTTAAAATTATCTTGATGAAGGACGATGGTACACATTTAAAAACCAAAGGAATGCCTTTTGCAAGGTTTATTAACGTTTTTAAATCTTACCGCGTCTTGTTACCGAAAATTTTCGGGCTTATCATCGCCTTAGTTATTATCAAGAACGAATTTATGCCTTTTTTGTGGACAGTTGTTTGCTTTTATAAATGAAACCTTAATGATGAATGTATTTTATTTCTGTCACCTCTGCGCTGGGAGGATGAAGTTATTCTGCGTTATCGAATCTTATCATTTTCCATCATTGCTATTTCAGTTCCTGCTTCATAGGCGATATCCGGAAACGTTGTGAAGAAGAGCTAAAAGGTGATGTGGAGTATACATCCATGACATTATGTCACGATGATTGCGAACTGTCCGATGATACACCAATTGAGTTGGTACTAGCAAATGAGAAAATTCTGAAATGTATCATAAACGGTTGCGCAAAACCGTCCGCCGCTCAAATTTATGCAAAACGAGCTAGAAGTAACTGTATTTTCAGAATATTATTCAAGAGTTGATCGTGTTGTAGCCATTGCAATAATACATAAGCAAGTCAATTTAGGAAAGAAGAAAATTACTGTGAAGAAGGCTGTAAAATCATTGTTTTCAGATTTTATTGCGTAAAATTTTTATTTAATTTATGTTGCTGGATTTAATATTTTGAATATATCTGTAACATCAAATTTACATTGAGTACAGTACCTCGTCACTTTACAGGATTAATGGCGAATGTGTTGCATACTCTTGCGGAAAGTACGAATGGCTCATTGGATTTGCGTGAAATGAATATTGGCCAAGATGATGCCGTCTGCGCAGCTGTTGAAATTTTGCAGTCAAATTTACTAGAACTTTATCTAGATGGCAATTCACTGTCAACTCCATTTATCGATTTAATTTCAAAAATCCTTCGACATCTCACTTTACTGAACTTACCTTGTTGCGCATTAAAAAGGTATGTTCTGTCTTCATTCATTGAAAAATTTGATTTATGACTGAATTAAATTGTTAATCGGCCCTCTTAGAAGTCAAGAGTTAGAAGTGCACTATAATATGAGTTCAAGTTCTTAGGAAATCCACTTTTTCTACTATTACAGTGACCGATGGAGTAGGCTATACCACTGTCTTCTCATTTTTAAATTTCTGAAACTATTAAAATACTTTGTCGTTTGATTTCATTTTGAGCTGAATGAATTTATTATTCCAGAAAATCTGGATGGATCAATCTAGTTAAAAGCTAAAAGGGATGATTCTTCACTTCCTTTTTTGCTATTTCTTGAATTTTCAACTTTGTGAACTATTGCAAAACATGAAATATTTCAGCAGATATCTTCGACAGTTGATTGGTGATTATTCTGTCTGCGATGCACTGACCAAGCTAGATTTGAGTTATAATAATCTCGGCGACAATAGTTCCGATCATTTGGTTACTTTCGTCAGCTTGTGTCCTAATCTTATAGATCTTAAACTTGCTTCATGTAACATAAACCGAAGCGTTACAGATTCTTTAATGCAACAGATTAAAAGTAAGCATTAAATTTCAAAAGATTAAAAACTTCGCCATTTATAAGAATGTTTAAATATATTTGTGCTATACTTTGCATAGCTTTATTTTGCTTTCATTTTATGCTTCATTTTATCTATCGCTGAATTTACGCTATTTGTATCCTCATATTCAAACGTTTATTTGTGAAAGAAATTAGGTTGTTCAAAAAAAAAATAATGTGCTAATGATTGCAATTTCACCTATTTTGCTCAACTAATTTGATGTTAACTAATAACCTATTCTATTATTTTATTGCATTTTTTTCAGAAATAATTTCATTAGAAGTGCTAGATTTAAGTTTCAACCCAGAAATCAATTCAGATCACGCTTCAGAAATAATTCAAGCTTGTAAGAGCTTGAAATATTTAGATCTATCATGTACAGCTGTATCAAAAATGGATAATATGGTAAGGTGGTATTCTTGTTTTTTGTACTTGTATTTAGTTGAGGACTCCTCTCATCAATTTTCAGTTATCAGCACTAATATTATGATTCAAATTAAGTCAAACAGTATGCCGTTCTAGGCTTATAAAATTTGAGACTTATTCATTTAATTAGTAAATCAAACAAAATTGTTACTGAAACTTTGATTTCATCTGTGCAATTTATGGACCTCAGCATTTTCGATTAATTTCTCTCTTGTTGATTATTGCACGTTGGCGATAATTATATACCTAGCAAGAGGTAAAATATCGCTGTCCTGAAGTTCTATATGCCAATATCCGAAATGAAAAAAATGTACTCTAATAAATCTCATTGTTTGAATTATCAAATGCGGCATTACCTTTTATTATTTCTCATCCATAAGTAACAGACGCTATGATTTCAATTTCGTTATCAAATGTATTCGATCATTCATTGTAGCATGTCTTTTAAAGTAACTATTTTGGATAGGATATATCATAGAGGCTAATTCTCTAATCTTTCGTGGTCATTTGTGTCGCTACATTATAAAGGAATCAATCAAAGTCATAAATTGACTGAGTCTTTTATTTAGAACAGACAAGAGATTAATAAATACGTAAAATTTTATTGATTTTTCTTCAATTTCAGCCAGAAGTAGAGAGAAAATTAGAAACCTTGAAAATATCCCTCAATGGCTTGCTTAATCCGGATTATATAATGGAATGGTCATTCACATACTGTCCAAATATGCTTCTTCTGGATTTGTCTGCAACAACAGCCACTTCTTCTATTGTCGGAATTTGTTTAAAAATTAAAGCTGATAAGGTATCTTCGATTACTTGTCGAAAATAGCGGATTTTTATAGATTCTTTAAACATGCACAAAATATTAAAATATCTCAAATTAGTTTTGGTAACGTAAACAGATTTCTTGCTAAGATATGTTTTAAGTGCTTAGTGCTATAAATCGCAGAATTCATTGCTAATTCTCTTGTGTAATAATTGATGTCCGGAATTTTATAATGTTTTTTGCTCTACTCATAAGTTTCAACTGAAAGAAATTGAGGATTGGAGATTGGAGTAGAAATTAAGGATTAAATTTAGGTTCTTAAATATTCGATTTAATTAAAAAAGTTACACTTCGAGAGAACCTAGTCAGAAAAAGTAGGGAGCAATTTTAAATTTTAAATAAAATTTTGTTTTATTTCAGATGCCTTTCGCAACAGTTTTGTTGGCTGATTGCAGTTCGCTCGAAGCGAACCCAGAAGAAATAGTTCATATACTTAAAGCAGACTTGATTACTAGTAGTACTGTAAGATTTCAATTCAGCAATAAGTTTCGTCGGAAAATTGAGGAATTGCTGCCCGATTCATATAAATTTTGCTTGAAATGACTTTGTATATTATAAATGCTGAATAAATGTTATGTTCCGAAGCTTTTAGCTAGAAACTTTTTTGTTTTGCTTTATCAGTTTGAATACCTTCTATGCTAAATTTAAATGAAGCGTTTGCTAACTTTTTCTCCAATGACAAATTATCGATCGAGTCTACATGATTTTATCTGATATGTCTGTGAACAATTATCCAAAATTCATGGATTAATTTTTTTCTCTCCATACGTTTATTATCTTTAATAACTTATACATGAAACATTGCATTCAGAGAAGTTAATCAATTTCAGTTATATGTCATCTGAGATTATAAGCTTGGAAAACTGAGGAAATGAGTGGGATTTATCTACCAGGTGACATCGTTCCTTTGATGGTTCCTGGTAAAAAAAGGACAGAAGTTAGTTTTCCTAAAAGTTTTTGAACATTCCATATGTTAATTCATGTTTTCTGTTTTATTATTCGCTGCACGGTAGCATATTCATGTTTTATTTATTTGACATATGTACCTGTATTCCTAATTGACTCTTATTAGCGAAACAAATGCACTCCAGGTAATTGGTTGTGGTCTAGAACGAGTAATCAATGATCCTGATAACTTGTTAGTCGTACAACCTGGAGTGCGGCGTGTATCTCACGGTAAACAATGGATGGCAGTTCACTCACGAAGGTTTATTTCATGAGATTTGAACTCTGAACATTAACTAATAAATGATTTTAATTTTTATAAGATTTAATTTCGAAATTGATTTTTAGATTTGAAGTTTGAAAAGATTAAAGTGAATGAAAACAAAAATCGATTATTTGAAGAGCGAATTGTCTTTCAGATATGTCCCACAAAAGGGTGATCGTGTAATTGGAATTGTTACTTCTGCACACGGTGAAACGTTTAAAATTGATATCGGAGCTGCTGACATCGCTTTTATCAATTTTCTTTCCTTTGAAGGTTTAACTTCACTATATTAAATCTTTATTGTATAGCAGTTTTTACGCAACTAATAAAGTAATAATAATTGTATATTATTAAGATTTGTGGGATTAGTTTTAGAAGAAAATTCATAATAGAGATGGACCCGAATGATTAAAATTTATACTTGGTTAATTTTTGATGCGTTAAGGAGTTATTGACACCGAAACATCGTGACTAACTTGTTATTAAATAATTTGTATTAACGGGGACCATTTCTAAAGCCTGAAAAATTTGGCTCTCCGAATCTCACTGCTTTGTTTCGATTATGGATGATAAATTTTGTTTTATTCTTTGTTTTCTAGGTGTCACAAGACGTAACCGTCCAAACTTGAAAGTTGGTGATTTAATTTATGCAACTGTCACCTCTGCAACAAAACATTTGGAACCAGAAGTACTTATCTTTTTGATCACTGCATGTTTACGATGTTGGATATAACAAAGCCTGATGGAGCGTTAAAAAAAGCTCAATAAAAACTCAATAATTTCCAGCTTACATGTGTTGATGGCGAAGGTCGAGCGCGCGGTATGGGTTCACTACCATCTGGTGGATTTCTGTTTAAAACAAGCCTGAATCTTGTACGTCGAATCCTTTCACCGACTTCGAGGCTGTTGTCGCTGATTGGTAAAGATATAAAATTTGAAATAACAAGTGGCATTAATGGGCGAATTTGGATCAAAGGCATTAATGTCGTGGAAGTTGTAGCTGTTCACCGAATAATTAAGGATTCGGAATTTATCCCAGAACCCGATATTCCAGCTTTTGTGGACAAACAAATTAGCCGTTTATATGGCTTTCCTGTATCGTCTGATGAAAGTAATAATGATCGAACATCATAATGCTTCGCATGTAATACGTATATGCGAGCTAGTATCTGTGTAGCTGTGTACGTGTACATGCTCGTAAATATTTTTAATTATCAGTACAATTGATTTTAACAATTATTTGTTTGAAAATGCAAGATTAGTTTGTCAATGAATGGTGATATAAATTATCATACTATATTTTATCTTTTTATTACTTAAAAATAGTGAATTTATGACGACCACTACCATTTCTAAAATGATAAGTGATAACTGATGATAAATGGCAAATTTAGACTGTTATGTTATTTGGATGTATTTGTTCCAGATACTTTTTGTCGTGTGCAGTTTCTTAAATCAACTTTCTTGATTTTAATAATTAAGATGGTTAGAATTTATGCATTCCAAGCTTATTCTCAGTATTATATTTGTTCTAAGCATTGCACTCAATGTTCGTTGTTCTTACTTAATTTGTCATAGTTTAAAGCTACGAGTTTTTTTATTGGTTGCAAATAGTCTTTGTTGCTGTTCATTTTACAGATGTGATTCATTCAAGCTGTACTTTTCATTCAAGAACATTTCAGTTTGGATATTTTTCAAATTATGCAGTAGTATTATAAAGGCTTCCGGTTGTTGATTTGATGAAAGATGTTTGAAGTGTTCACTCTCAGTTCTTATTTCCATAAGTTATGCATTATGTATTTCGTTTTTATCCTTTGATAAGTGACCTTTTTTCGTAATTCGTTGTTTTGGATATAGTTGAAAAGGAAGCGAATTCTGTAAGTCCTTGATGCGTGAATTGATGAGTTTGTTTCAATTATTTAATGTGATCATTACAGGAAAAAAAGTTGCAAGATGGAGAGCGAACAACAACCAAATGCGCAAAAAGATAATGACGAGATGGCAAGAAAGGTTAAAGAAAGTGATTCTATAATTTTGCCGGAAGCAAGACCTGGCGATCAGAGTTTACAAGAGTTAACTTCGCTGGTTAGTTTCTTTTTTTTCAACTTTAGCTTTAGAAAGTGGGTTAGGAATATGAATAATTACAATGACCTCGTTTTCTGTTTTGCTATATCGCATGATATTATCATTGAATGTGTTTTTTATCTGTGATGATGAGTCAGGCAATGCAGGAGAGAAGCTAATTGTCCTGACAACAAGTTGGCCAATACAGGGCAGAGCTTTTTTCTCTTCTAAGGATTCTATGAAAAGATTTTCGATATAAGACTTTCAAGTTTGAGATAGAAAATAAGAAAATGGGTTATTTCAGATACAAGGAGTATTGCAACAGACGCAGGATCGTTTTCAACGCATGTCTGATCAAATCATTGGACGAATAGATGATATGACAAGACGTATCGATGAACTGGAAAAGAACATAACCGATCTAATGACACAAGCTGGGGTTGAACCAGAGCCATAACGAGATGCTTATGGTTAGAGTGTTAGTTTATTTGATTACTGCTTGTCGTTATCTACAATATTAATGTGGGATAAAGTATTACATTGTCATTATGGATACAATACTAATATTATAAATGGTATATTAGTGTTGTACAATAAGTTGTTAGAATATAAATAAACAAGCAACTTGAAATTACTAGCAAATACAAAGACGTGTGTTAGGAATTATTGAGGAGCGTAGTTTGGACAGTTTGACTAAGTGTTAAATCATTCAACAATTTCGTAATTTCAAAATAGTAGTTTTTAAGAGAAGAAAGTCATTGTAATTTTTATATCAACACCAAGCATTTAAAGGACATCAAGATTGCAAATTGTTGTGACAAAAAAATTGTTATTCTGTTACTATTTAATACGTAAAATTATCGAATTCAAATTAATTATTCATTTTTGCGCTGCTAACTAACCCTTACGTAAAAGGTTGATTGAACGCAATATTGGTATTTGGCATGATAGACTATTCCCGTGGTCGCTATATAGTAATGTCTGCCATGTATCACTAACTGATATGTTCTAATGGACGACATATATATAATAAATTTATATTTCTTGTTTCTTGCAGGTGTTACTCTGTTACTGTGAGCCTCGTTAGTTCATCTCGTGCTTTCCGATACGAATGGATGCCGTGATTAACCAGAAAATTTTTATCAACATGATCTTTCCGTTCTTATTGACTTTTTTTATTTCTTCTTTACGCTTTTAATTTACTCTCATTTTATGAACAAATGGTCATTATTTTGCAAATTTAACATTTGAAATGTTTGGGCTATCAATTTTCTGAAGCTGAATTATATACATACAAATTCTAAAGTAGTTGCTACTTTTAAAGAAAATTGACCCTAGCCGTGCTTGATCTATAAATCATTGGACGATTAGATGATATGACAAGACGTACCGATGAACTGGAAAAGAACATAACCGATCTAATGACTTAAGCTGGGGTTGAACCAGAACCATAACGAGATGCTTATGGGATGCTCAACTCATAAATTTTATAGATCGAAGTTAATTGTTTGTTGCGAATATGTTGAAATAATTCTTTCATTTTTCTATGAGCACTCCAATTTTATTTATTCGAACTGCTGAGTTTTTCTTCTACTTAATTTTAGAATTTCGGACAAAAATTAGAGCCTATTGCTATAAAAGCAATAGCTAATGATAACCTTCAGCGCTTTGTCAACAATTTAAGCTATTATTTGTTGAATACAGAATATTTCTCATCTTCATAAATGCTTACATAGTTGTACGATCCACATTGTTCAGATTATTATTTTTGAATGGGTGTATTAATCTCTAAGAGCTCGATGAACTGAGGTCGTTATGATAACGATGATACTGTCGGTTCGAGAAATACGAACTTATATCTTCTGAAATTTAAATTCGATCTTCAAATGAATTTTTATTTATCGATATTTTTGTTCTCATAGATCACATAAAAAGAAAGTAAGTATTCCACTCTTCCTTGGCACATTCACCATCACAAATATTGGTCTTAATGATTCGATGAATTAGGCGCTGTTATTTATTTATACCTTTAGCGTAACAGTGTTTCATTTTTCTGGTTGTTTATTACTCTTACATGTTTTAAAATTTTCATTACTAATCATGTATTACAAGTAACAGACTTTCACTCTCCTCTAAATAATCATTTACTCGAGCAACATTGCGAATGTTGTGGATAAAATGAAATTCCAGTCTATTACTATTATAGTGGGTATAAACCTTTCTAAACACGACGAAATACCTGAGATTTTTTTCCAAATACCTTGGAAATACCCTGAGAATATGAATGATTCTCATGTTACAAATAATCACTTTTTGTAATTCTAAAATTTGAATTGCCTGTTCAATACATTTTGATAAGAAAATATTCATAATATGGAATATACCGGAAATGCCAGGATTTTTCATATAGTATAACTTTTAGTTAAAAGATATGCAGCTGAAGCTGGTTCAATGTAAGCCTGTCCAATTTTACATCTAACTTTTCCTCTCTGCTTCTTATTCCCTCACAATAATTGCAAATATAGCGGCCTATTGTTTGAATCTCTTTTTCTTTAATAGAAAGGATAAGTTAAATATTGAATTTCTTATCATAATTTTTCTTTGAATAGGCTTACTTATATAAGCTCATATTTAACCAACTTCCACTGCATATCGTTCAACTAGGAGAATAAGAAGTAGTAGAAACATAATGTATGAATAATTTTGATATTTCTGCTATGTTCCATATTGTGGATATTTCTTTATCAAATATAGATAATTCAAATTTTACAAAAGTAGTAACTTAGTTATCCCAAATCGTACACTTTCCAATCTCTAAGAAAAACATTACAGTTATAAAATCTTACAAAGTGTTTCGCTTAATGCTTCTCTTACTCATTGTTTAACCTGTGAAGAAGGTAATTTTAATCGTTGAATTTATTCTCGAATCATATGAACTTTTCCCTCATCAAAACATATGAATATATTCATATAAATCAAATTTAATTTGCAAGACAAAAAGTTTTCAATGCGGCTGGTGGGAGTTACGTGAACTACATGATGGCTCAACTAGGATGACATTACCTCTCAACAGCCTCCTCATAACTGGTTTGCTAACGATGTAGTACTTTGATTTGGTCGATGGAAAGGTAATCAGTTTCACGTGATTTTTTGAAATTTGTTCCTGATAAGTGAATCGTCCATTATTAGTGCAAAACATTTAAATGATTGGAATTGCTTTTCGTGCTACATTCAGCAATAATTATTCTTGCGGTACTATTCTTATTTTACTTTCATTCATTACGTTCACATTAATTTTATCGTTTCCCTTTTATAGTTTCAGCAATTAGCAATAAACGAAAATAAATATTCATAATTGTATGCTTATTTTTCATCTTTTTCATGCCTAATTTCAAAGTCTAATTTTAATTTTGATTTTACTTTTTCAAACGATTAACTTTTGTTTCCCTCTTTCACTCCGATTTTTGAAATTCATTCTTGTCGCTAATTTTTATTTTGTACTTAAATTTGTAATCGTTTATTTATTATAGCTTCTCCTAATCAATGGGTAAAGCTGGAAGCAAAACAAAAAGTCTCTCTAAAAGCAAAAAGAACAATATAAATGATTTCCAATTATTGTTAAGAAATCGATTCTACGAAATAGCAAATGGAGAATCAGCCATTGATAAATCTGTCTTCTTTGTAAGCTTTCTGTTATTTTCTTCCATTGTAAAATTTACCATACAATATATATCCATGCAGAATTAATTTCCTTCAATTCTTAATTTTTCAGAAATATACTGAATCAACAATTTGCCCTCAATTACAATCATTCATATATGATTCACTAAGTAAACCGGAAAATGTTGTAAGTTCCCAGATCTAGATACAGATACATCAGTCGATAAATACAGTTACATCAGTATCCTGTCAGGACACATAGCATCAATAATGTCAGTCAGTAATTTACATCGTTATTAAGTGATCTGCTGATATGTTTTGTTAGAATATTGATGAATCAAATAGGGTAATTTGTTACCTGGAAATCTTGATTATAACAAAAGATTTTAGATTAGAATGGAACGTTTTACACAATTTGCCGAAATGATACTTGGTGATTTCAATCAGCAAGCAAAAGTTCTCTTACAACTGAACCAACCGATCAACAAGGTCCTAATTTCAGTAAATACCAACAAATTTTTATATTTCATCCAAATTTTTGTAAGGAGTAGTTAGTTGATTGGATTACTGTATCTTCTATATTTCTATATTTCAGATTATAGAGGCTATAATTTCGTCATTTTTTGAATGTGAACAATTGGATCCACAAAGTATCACACTTCTCGTTGATTTTCTCATGGAACGCATTCCATTACAATTGGATTCATCCGCCTTAAGTAACTTTATGCAAAGCCATATTATCTTACCGAATATAATCAAACATATCAGTGAGTTGACCTTTATGGAAAGGCAAAGCAGTCCGAAACTTTTGCTACAGGTTAGCAAAAACTCGTTGCTTACCCCTGCTGCACTGTGCCTTATATATGCGAATTTACCCGAAGAATTAAGAGATCGATGGACGCTATTATTTTCAAGGTAGACCCTAAAATTTTGATATAAAATTTTAAAAAATGCAAAAATCCAACATCTTGTCAAGTGTTGAGAAAAAATTTTAAAGATTTCTTTAATTGTATGTTACATATTTCAAATAAACAATCCTATATTGTATTTCACATTTTAGTTTAAGTTCATGATTTATGGCTAGAGCGTCCGAAGATTACATCATAATGCTTTTTGTAGGAGGAGCATTTGATCTAGTGTAATTCAATGAAAGATAGAGAGTTTTCGTGAGATCAAAGTAAGATATCGCACCGCACAAATCAGTGGAGTCTGTGGATTCCTTATCCCACTTTTAATGAGACACCAACCCTAATCTGTATTCGAGGCTAAACTTCAGAATTTCCATTCACTTCTAAAATCGAGACGTAAACCCTGACGGAAATTTTTTGGAAGGAACAGATCACATATATATGACTGCTTTCTTTTTCGAATTTCAGTGAAAAACACGGCGAAAGTTTCATGAAACTAGTAAAAAGTGTGGACCGTGCAGGTCCATGTTTAATTGCGATAGAAACAACATCCGACTATGTCTTCGGCGCATTTGCTAGTCAGGGGTTTGTTTGTGGCCCACGACATACCGGTGATAATCAATGCTTCCTGTTTAAAGATCGACAAAAGCTGCATATTTATAGTGCCACGGGTTACAACAACAATTTCGGCTATCTCAATTATGGCCAAGTGTCAATGCCAAATGGAATCGTATGTCTTCAGTTTGAAACTTCCAAAATTGTAGATTGTTTGTCTTGCACTAAATTGATTACCGGCATTAATAATGCTATACTTTCTAATCTCTACTGGTGACTTCTAGATCAGCTAAATTAAGCAAGTATTTTACCTTTAGCCAACTTTTCTTGATAATTTTGCTTTGTTACAGCTCCGGATTAATGGCTACCATATCCTAATTTAAAATTTAAAAGTCTTTCTTAATCTCGTTTGGTTAAATTTCAAATAAAGCCTTTGTTAAATCGAAACAAATTTTTCAGGGTATGGGTGGTCAGGGTAAAGATTGGTCCTTCTTTCTACATCAAGATTTCAATAATGGTAGTTCCACTTCTGGAATAAGTACATTTGAAAAATGTTGGTTGGCCGGTGAAACAACTTTTAAAATGAAAAAAGTTGAAATATGGTCAATTGGAGAAAAATGCAAGAAAATAATAAACACTGAAATGCAGAATAAGTTGGACCAGCAACGTGCGTTAGTAAATAAAAAAGAAACACGTATATTACTTGAAATGAGTGGTAAAGAATTCTGTGGTGATTCATTTAATGAATAAAAAGTTTATTATATCAATAAGTGTTCTAAAATACGCACCAAACAAGAAAACTGCTTATTTTATTTATTCTACCTAAGATAATGCCTTTGCCATCATTCGTTTGATTTGAATCGCCTTCCCAGCTATCTATAACAAGATTCGACTAATTCAGGCACTTGCAGTACTTTGCTTGGCAAATCGATAAATCTTCCCTAACAAATTTGTATATACACTCTTTACATTAAATTATTTATTATCCTTCTCGGTTTCTTTTTTAGGCTCCTCCAAACCGATTTGTTCATAACGTGACACCATAGACTCTTCACGGAAGTTAGGCATCAATTCCCATGGAGTTTTTAGGTCAAATTTCCGGAATTCTTGTGCCAGTTCAGTTGGCTCATATACACAGCGACCGAGCTCCGAATCATACCGCAACTGAAAGCCATGTTTAACAATAATTTCATGAATCTGCAGCACACTTTACTGCAAGTTTTATGAATTTCGTTCACTCAAGAATTTAGAAAACATGCCTCAACATAACCAGACAAGGGGAAATCTTTCCTGAACGGATGCCCTTCAAAACCGTAATCAGTAAGGATACGTCGTAAATCTGGATGGTTGTTGAACCAAACACCGTACATGTCATAGACTTCTCTTTCATACCTGCAACAACAAAATAGAAGAAGGGAGTTCGTATATTTAACGATGCTCTGAGTTCCAAATTTTATCTACCAGTTTGCTCCTTTGAAAATCGATGTTATTGACTCCAACGGTGAAATTTCATCGGTGTATGTACGCACCCGGATGCGTGCATTGAAACGTATCGAGAGAAAAGCATAAATGACCTGAAATTATTGTAACAATATAACCCTATTAGTGAATGAGAGGGAAAGGAAAAATTCTGTCAAAAATAGTTCCAAAATATTCCTACTGAATTGTGCATCCACGAGATTTCAAACCTCAGTATTTAATACTAATTCCAGTGCACAACGTTATTTACAATCATCATAAAATACGTGTTATAAATTAACTATCACAACAGTTACATTATTATAAAATTGCATTTGTTTATTATTGATTAATAACATATTATCTAGCCTATGTGTTATAAAGAAATCGTGTTGCTAAACGAATGAAGAATTCTTTAATGTAATAATAACTTGCAATAAATTATTTATTTCTTAAAATCAGAAAATACCTTTCAATCTATTCATAAGTAAAAATAAAGAAACCTCGAAACGGAATTTGCGTGAAGGTACATCCATTCCAGTAATAAATATAATATTAGTGAATTGAGCTGCATGATTTCCTTTTAGAAACGCTATCACAGGTAGAACTCCACTTGGATGAATCAATAGCTCTAATTCGTCTCCAGCAGCAAACTGTAAAGAAGCCATTTAGAATTGCAAGCGTGAAATCATTTATCAGCTTTTTCAATTTGTCTCATTCGGTTTCAAACTTATTCTATTAATATATCTCTTTTGAGAAACAAAATCATAGCGAATCTGACGAAATATTAGATTTCTGAAAGATATCCATAATACCAGCTTGATGAAGAGAAGTTGAATGCGTAACCTAACGGCACGTACGAACAATCAAAACGCCAACAGTATCATTTGTTAGGATATTCATCTTGAAGATGAGAAGGAAAAAATAAGAATACCTGCACTCTTTGTACAAATTTCGGTAAACATTCGGCACAATATCGACCGAATGTAGCTAATTTCTCGCGTTTTTTATCGTCAATTTTCCAAATCCCTGCTGAAAATAACTTCCCAAAATTTAGAAATCACTCATCGAAAATTTTGAAAGAATGAAAAAATATAAATAAATTAAAGTCTGGGCACAAAATTTGATAATCTTTCGATCTACATTAAATTTTATTACGAAACTGTTCAAACTCATCCTTATTACAATGTCCGTTTCAAATTCAATTTCAGACGGAATAAAATGAAGAAAGCAAAACCAGCATACGTTTAATCTTATTTTTTTCCGCTTTGTCAGAAGCACTTGTCGTACAGCTTCGTGTGCCGTTATTAATAATTCTAGTAAACCTGCATAACGTACGCCAAGCTTGCACTTGGCGGCCCAACATTTGAAATTTTGACCTGAAGCAAGAAAACGCCTTAATTTCCAGCACTACAGAAACTTGTTAGTCATTCACGTCAATGCCATTCTCATGATATCTCAAACTGAGAAACAACATAATAAGTCTTCCATTAATAAAATTGTTTCTGCTAATTTATTCCAGGTGAATTTAATCTACATAATATAAGGCTTAAATCACATGTATGTCGGAATAAATGAAGCAAATGATTAGATACTTCCATTATTAGACTCTTTCAGGGGATATCCGATTATAGTGGATACAATTAAACAATCCTTAATGCCTGGTAAAACGTAATGATTATCTGATGATTAGAATTAAGAAGATGGAAAAGCTACCAATCTGGTTAGCTAGCTTTACGTAGTAATCAGATCGAAAAAAATTATATGGCTAAATTTAAATGCTCAAAAAAGAAAGGAAATGGAAGCGGAATAAAAAAATCGGAAAACGGAAAGCACTCCCATTACATTTCCCGCTTTTACTTGACGAAACCGCTTTCCTGATTATGATTCTACGGTTTGGAAACATTCGACGGCTACGCAGTCACTTTTTCCATGGTGAGAAATATAATGATTCTGAAGAGAGTACGAGGAAGACGCTCGAACTAGAAAAATACATGTGGATTAACGAGTGAGGCAAAAAGTTTAGAAAAAATGTATGGATTAGAGAAATGGAATTGAGCAAAAAGTCGTTGATTAGAAGAGATGTATGGAATAAAGATTGAGAGTGGGACAAAGGATCGCTTGATATGTGAACGACCAATGAGTTAGAGATTAAAAATAACAGGATGACAGACTAAGTATACAGGATGGCAATAAAATCTTTAAAGGTAGTATATTTCCGGTTTAAACGATCATCTATGTAGCTGCATTTTATGATTATTTCAATAGTTGGGAACCTTAACAAAAAAGAAAAAATCGCAGAAATAGAAGGGAAACGATACTCTAAAAGGAAACGATGGTACTATAGATTGAGAGAATGACGAAGTGTCAACGGCTAATAATTATAACAGTGATTGAGAGTAATTTTTCAATTGATGCTAATTGCTACGATTTTATCATTTTTAAAAAGTGAATAAAAAGGAAGAAAAAATTAAAGTAATTGGTTGTACCTATTGTATATATGTTCTACCGAAAATTCTCTCATACTTATTCTCTTCTATTCTTACTTACAATTCTTATCCATCATTCTAATTTATTCAATTCTGTAATTTATTCTTTTTTTCTCCTCTACTTTCCTTGTACTATACTTATATTAGTATATCCTTTTTTATCTCATTTATCTATCACTGTAATTTGATGCGGAATATATCGTATTTAGCACTGTAATATGATGCGGAATATATCATATTAAAATGCTGCGGAATATATCATATTAAAATGCTGCGGAATGTATCATATTAAAATGATGCGGAGCGGAATATATCATATTAAAATGCTGCGGAATATATCATATTAAAATGCTGCGGAATATATCATATTAAAATGATGCAGAATATATCATATCAAATGATGCGGAATATGCCATATTAAAATGATACGGAATATATCATATTAAAATGATGCGGAATATATCTAAAATGATATATTCCGCACCATTTTTTATATATTCATTAAATTGAAATTTCAACTTGAATGAGCGCCTGAATAGAATGGAATGATAACGAGCTGTTATAGAATATGAAATCATTAGTTAATACCAGATAGCTTTTTTTTGATTGAAAATATTTATTCGGAACGGTTTAAAAAGAAATGTTAAAATATCAGGTAGCTAAATAAATAGATGGAAAAAAGGAGCTAATTTAATTAATATTGTTTTTATTTATTAAAAAACTTTTTTGAGAAATAAATTTTGATAAAATTTTGAAAAATTAAATTTAATTGTAAGAGATTTTTCTTTCCCTTCAAAAATTCATCATTGAAAGCTTTTATTCTCCTAAAATTCATAATTAAATTTGATAATTAATTTCAGCAAAAATAATAACAATAATTTTGTAATTAATTTATTATTGTAATCTTTTCAAACTCCATTATTTCATCATTTAATAGATTGATTAATTAGCATATTAAGATAAAGTTGACATTATTAGTATAAAAATTATCAGAAACGAAATAATCGTATATATGCATGTGAAGTTTAATTTGCATGTTAAGATAAAGCTGGCATTATTCGTAGAAAAATTATCAGAAACAAAAATTATCAGAAGCAAAATTATCAGTATATATGCATGTGAAGTTTAATTTAAAAGATATGTGTATATGTGTGTGTATATGTGTGTGTATGTGTGTGTGTCTATGTATAATAATCGGTTCATTGCTCTCATAATCTTTTTAATCATTTTATCAACAAATGATAATAAATTTCGACCTTTATGACATTCTTTGTTTCCAATTTATTATTAAGATATGACGGCAACTAAATTAGATGAAACAATTTTAATAATATCAATATGATTTTATGGGAAAAAAAAAGCCGGATTTAAAGCTGGATCAGTTTCTGTTTCTCCATCTCATATATATTATCAATTAAAACATGTAATATATTCAGTATCCTATGCGCAGCAAATATTATCCTAATTTTTTTTTCTGACGATAATAATGTTACGACGATAAAAGTAATTATGAATTTGAATGTGCTAATTTTAAAATGAATTATAGCTGCTTCGGTAAGCTGCAAATTAGAAATCATTTGCAGCTATTATTTAATGAAATAAAATCATTTAAAAAATGAAATGGACAAGACCTGATATAATGTTGCAAAATGTTGCAACAATTTTTGCTCCTCCTAAGGCGCATAATATTTTCCTTTGATGATTATTTTTTAGGATCAAAATTTCAAAATGATTTTGTTAAATCTCTTTTTATCAAACTCGTCATATTTCAATTTCAGTTTTTATCTGAACATCATATTCATCATATCATATATCTTATCATATTATCATATTAATGCAGCATATTAATGCAACAATCATTATCATATTAATGCAACAATCATAGAGTGGAACAGTAACCAGTACTGCTTAATTCTTTAATCATTATTTAAAAAAACAACAAATCTCTCGAAAAAGAATTTATATGGGAAAGTTTTGTTCAAGCTATGATTATCAATATTTATATGATAGATGATAAAATTTGTTTCAGTATCACAAGATTAATATTGTAACTGTTTGATGATCATTTAATTAGGATATAAAATTTCAAAAATTATTTTTGCTAAATCCCTTTTCATCAAGCTCAATATATTTTAAAACATTTTGATCATATCAATGCAACGATCATAAAGTGGAACTATAGAGTGCATATATCAGACTTATCAGTTCTTCATCACATTCCAACGAAGTGACGTTTTAATTTTTAATTAAATAATGATACGGAAACCGGGTGCTACATTGTGCACATTTTTAAAATCATAATTTGAACATTTATAACTTTATTTAGGAGAATAGTATGGTTTGCAAAATTGAGCCGGATCTCTTTCGCAGCATTGTTCCACCCTAAAAAAAAACCGGTTTTTGCTGTTCAGTTCTTCGTCATCAATGAAATAGCATGAAACAATGCTCCAGGAAATTTAACGTTTTTCATCATTATTATAATTATTAGATCATTAATGAATGAAAGCATAATGAATTATTTGAAATTTTAAAATTCTGCATAAAAATTATGCCCAAATTTTACAAATAACATTTTAAATTACTATCATCAATTTTGGCCCAAAAATCTTTCGAGCTTTTTTTATAATATAATTAAAGTTGTTGCATAACAAAATAAATCCATTTCAACACTTGTTGGCAAATAATTAAATTAAACTGATTTATATTAGTTTTACATTTAATTTATAGTATTGTTATCTATACTATCTATTATTCAATTATTTACATATACTATTTATTAGTCAATTATTTACATATACTAGAAATGATCATAATTTTGAAAAGAATTATTTGAAGGAAAGAAGTGATTTTCGATTAATTTAGGTCAGTAAGAATTGAAAATTAATTAATTCCCAATTAATTGATGATACTCATTAAAATTTTCAGCTTTTTCTGTATGTGTATATATGTGTACGTGTTATTCGATAATTTTTATTATACATATCTATCATTATTATGATTTATTGCCAGCTTATTTCTTCTTTTTTTTTTTAAACAAATAATGAAAAGTTGTAAATTTAATGTTATTGTAAACAATTTTCTGCATCATTAAATCTGATAATTGAATTGTATCAATTTATTGCAAATTGTAATTTCTCTTTAATTATTCACGTATTAATTATAATTATTTATTGATTCAAATTTTAATTGATTGATTGATTGATTGTAAACAGTGTGAAATACATAATTTCAGGTGTGTAATTAAAAATTAAAAAAAAAACTATTTTTTTATTTTCCATTACAAAAATGAAAAAAATTTTATAACACATCGAATGAAAAATACAATTTCGATAAACAACTTTTCTTTTATAATTTTTTTAATTATTCAAAAATTAAACTTCAGACTTATTTTATGATAATATATTAGGGAATGGGTGTGACAATGAATGAGAGATTAGCTATGCAAAGTTTAAAATAAAATAAACTTTACTCAGTCTGGAATAATATTTTAGGGAATGGGTGCGACAATGAATGAGAGATTAAAACGTGCAAGTTTAAAAAATGAGATAAAGTTTACTTAATCTGAAATAATATTTTAGGGAAAAGTTGATTGACAATGAATGAGAGATTAAAACGTGCAAGTTTAAATTGTGTTAAAGTTTACTTAATTTGTGATAAATATTTTAGGGAATGGATGACAATGAATAAGAGATTTAAAAAAATGCGTAGTTAAAAATGAGATAATGTTTATTTACTTAGTGATAAAATAATTTTAGGGAAAGGATGATTAACAAATGAATGAGAGATTTAAAAAATGCAAGGTTAAAAATTTGATAAAATTAGAAAGAGCTAAATAAGCTAAGAGTTACGATCGAACTGTTGAATTATATGAAAAAAGTAAACTCTTTCATAAATTATATAATAAATTTGCAAGAGGAATGATTAATAATAAATTGATGAAATTAAAAAATTCCAAAAATTTAATTTAAAATTATTGAGAAATTTGCAAATTGTTTAGTAATTTTTAATTACATTTGCAATTAATTAATATAATTATTGTTTAAATTAATTTTAATTTTAAATACAAAAATTTCTTTCCATCCGTTCTTTTCTTTCTTTGTATTTCTTTTTGCAATTTTATATTGAAATGATTTGAATGTTTTAGGATTGAGATGAAAATATTGTATAAATGGCAGATTGCGGGCAGATAGTAAATCAATGTAATACTATAATAATAATAATAATAATAATATTAATATAAATAATAATAATTATAATGATAATAATAGTTTAACTAATAATCCTAGAAAAAAAAAGGAGATAAACATTTCTATTCGTTTTAATTATCCAACAATGCAATTTTTTATTGAAAGATGACAAAATTTACAACATCGTCGAAAATTTGAATGAAATAATAAAGTGGGTGTAAATTTTTTGTTTTTCATTAATTAATATTGCCAGTGTCGTAGTTTATTATTTTTTGAAATAATTGGAACTGCTTGTGCTTTTGATGCTTCTTGTTGTTTGGTAACTTCATGAGTTGCATCGTCTATTGTTTCACCAGTGGATGATGATAACGATGAAATACTTCCAAGATCTATTACACCACCGGAAAAATAAATCAATAAATAATTCAATTAGAAATATTCAATTTATTCTATATATTCAATTCTACATTTATAAAATACAAGAAATTAAAATTTCTCTTTTTTTCTACATTAGTAAATTTGGAAATGAAAAATATATATATATAAATAGCATATTTAGTAATTGCAAAAAAAAATTGTATAATACTTAAAGATATAATTTATTGATTGATTTTCTTTTTGTTTCTTAAATCTATTATAATAATATATATTTATAAAAATCATTAAATTTGTCATTGATAACTTGATCAATTTAATTAATTTAATTAAATATTATATATTTCCAAAATATTTGCATATTTATTTGATATCTGAATGAGAATATTTTTCTTTCTCATTTAAAAGGAGAAAATTAAGATAAAGGTTTTTTACCACCAGGAAGGGTTGCTTGCTCAGCAGCTTCTGCAAATCGTCCTGGTACTGGTGGATTTTCTGGTGGTGTCAGGGATGGTTGTGCACCACCCAGAGTAGAATCTCTGTATTGTGCCTGAGAAGCCGATAATGCGCCAGACCCACTGTAGGATTGTGGTGGTGCATTCGGTGCTCCGTCATAGGATGGTTGTGGAGCATTGTATGGTCCTCCTCCTCCTGGTCCTGCCTGAGGTCCACCGTAAGATGGTGGTGGACCTCCTCCACTGTAAGATGGTGGTGGACCTCCACTATAAGATGGACCTCCTCCACCGTAAGATGGTGGTGGACCTGCAGCATAAGATGGTGGTGGAGCCGCTTGAGGTGCAAAGTAAGATGGTGGTGGTGGTGGGGCTGCTGGAGGTGCCAAATAAGATGATGGCCCTGGACCTCCTTGCGGTACATTGTATGATGACGGTCCTGCTTGAGGTACACTGTATGATGATGGTCCTGCTTGTGGTACACTATATGATGACAGCGATGGTCCTGCTTGAGGTACAGCATAACCTCCTCCTTTAGGTGGAGTTGCATATCTAAAAATTTTTGAATTAAAATAAAATGATACAGTAATAATTATAAATTATTAATTAAAATTATCTATTAATATGATCATTTCTTTAAATATCTAATTTTCAATTTTCAATTATATGATTCTTTTATTTCCAATTTTATTTATAGCTCCAATTTATTGAGCAATTTAATTTTCCAAAAATTAAAAGTTTTCATTCATTTCTCTTCCGACATCCATTTCCGCCTTTTTTTCTTTATTCTTTTACTATGTAAAATAATTTTTGTTAATCTTTTATTGCATAAAATTAATTATTAGAATTAACTTACCCTCCACCACCACAAGGATTTCCAACACATCCATGTTGTTGTGGTTGACAACATCCTAAACCACCAAAACATGCCGATACCGGATAAACTAGAAGGATTGGTATTAGCGCAAATTCCTGAAAATACAACAATTACTATAGCTTGTTTTTGTTAAGTAGAAAAATAAGGAGTATAATCTTTAAAGGATTTTAAAGAATATCAATTGTTAAAACTTTTGTTACACTTATAGTAATAAAAAGTAAATAATATATTTAATTATCTTAATCATTTAATCAATAATACTAATTAATTAATTAATTAATTAATTAATTATTGTATGAGTGATTGCCAACAGCAACAATATTATCCAGTTATGCTTTTGAGATAATTGTAGCCAGAGTATTATCATTTATCAATCATTTTCTATCATTTTAATATCATCAAAAAATGTTGCAAAAAAACGATCCGAATTCTTCGTAGAAAAATTTCGAAAAAATTTATTTGAAAATTTCAAAAATTTTGCAATACCGTTATCATTCCTCTTTCTCACCACTATTTTCAATCTTATCTGGAAATTAAAATCGATAAAATCTACAATTTACTAATTTTTTTAATTGTCAATTTAACTTTGTCATTTATCTAATATTTGAAACTATACTTACTACTAATACCAATTGATTTTAATTATGCATATAATTTATTTATGTAATTCAAAAATAAACAAGATAACGAAAGATTACCCTTTCGGTAATACAAAAAAAAGTCTAATATAAAAGTTTTAAAAAATTATAGTATTTTAAAAGATTATCAAGATATTAATAAATTCTTAATGTATTATTATGATAAATTGTTAAGAGTCATATAATTAATATATATTAATTAATTTTAGAAGTAAATATAATTAATTTTAAAAGTTTAAAATCGATTAAAAATTTTAGCAAAAAAATGAGGAAGAAATAATTTTATTATTATTTACTATAATTAAAGTAAACTTCTAATTTTAGGTATTTGAAAATTTTTTCGACAAATTCATTTGATAATACGAAATATATCTGTTTTGTTATTATCAAAAAATTTTTTGAAATTTTAACAGACTATAATTAAACTGAAATTTTTTTAATTCGATATTATTTTGCTTTATTTTTCCGCTAAAATGAAATGGATTATTTTTTGAAAACTTACAATGAAAATATCTTATAGTATTAATGGTTTAGTGTTGTTAACATTAAAACATTTCTAAAATGAAAATTCTAATTAACAAATGATAATTTTAATTACTAAATTATCATTTGCATAATATCATTTGTTTAATTTTAATTATCAAATTATTATTAGCATAATTAATATGCTTTTAATAAATAACTATTTAAAATTTATGCAAAAAGAAATGTTATTTTTAACTATCAATAAAATTTTATCACGTATCACGTATGCATTATTATGTTTTATATTTAGACAATTATACAAGTAATTAATACTTCAAAGATAATTAACTTATAATCACTTATTTAATTGTTGTTTGCATTTTTTTTCTGCAAATTGCAAACTGCACGTTAATTTTTATAAATATATTTAGTGATAAAATTCGAGATCACACGTAATGTAATGCTTAAAATATTTATAACATATTTAATTATTAATTAATTATGAAATTAGTGATTTTGTATAGGTATTTTTCTACTACTTATCCAATTCATTAAATATATTATTTTAGAAAAATGAATTTCAATTGATACAAGTCTAATTGACGTGACCTAATTTATTCGTCTACTTATCATCATCTATAATCATCAGAATAATATCGTTATAAATACGAAAATACCAGAGGATTTCGTGTAATTTTGATTAATCAAAAATGAAGTCATTAATTTTTATTTCTTTTAATTTTTTGTGGCGATAATTAAAATTAGTAGTTAAATTATAGGAATTATGTAAATATTTGTTAATTATATTTGTTAATTATATTGTTAATTATGTATATAATTGTCAAATTATGTATATATTTGTTACCTTAATAATTAAAAATTAATTTAAACAAAAATAGAAAACAATTTTGTTTGTATTATTATAATGAAATTAAAAACTTAATAGAAATGGCATTTTCTCAAAATTTGTCCTTCAATTTTAGCATTCATTAATTTAATTATATAAATGTTAAACTATTTCTTGCCATATTAATTAATTGCTAACTTCTAAAATTTATAGGTAAACCTATTTATCAGTTATTAAGTTAATTCAGTCAATTATAAAAAGCATCAAAAAGGATAAAGGTAAAAATAATATGCATATGTTTGCTTAATATCTCAGTAATTAATAATTATTGTTACTGCTTCGGGTAATAATATATTGAAATAAAAACAATGAAATAATTTAGATTATATGATGAGTGAAAGAATATTGAATTGAAATAATTTCATTTTATTTTATAAGATAATCCGGTATTTATTTCCGGAAATATGTTTCTATTTTCCTATTCCATAATATTAACATTTATTTTTATATTTCCTTTTCTCATTGAAATTAATAGTTTAAAATTATTAGCATACAAATATATGAAGCGAAATATATCAAAAACAAAATAATGCAAATTAGTAAACAATTATTAAAATTTGATTAAAATTGCTCAATTAGGAATATCCGTAAAATTTCCGGAATTAATTACAAAAAATATTCCGATCGCTCCATGTTTTTAACTATATCAGAATTATCAAAGCTGTTCAATTTTTCAATTAGACATATTTTACATAATTATTATCATTCTACTTAATTAATTAAAATTTGGAACTTTTTTTTTTTTTGTTTAATTAAAAGAAAAAAGTGAAATTTTAACTAACCATTGCAGAATGAGACAGGCCTTTTTTAAAATCTCTCTCTCTCTCTCTCTCCCTCTATCTCTCTCTTTTCTTACGGGACAAAAATACAATTTGTCGTTTTAAACAAACAATTGGTCAGTTAAATCAGTTAATAGGTAATGATTAAATATATGCTTCACACAACTGGACGATTGATAATTGGTGATAAAGGAAATGCAATGGGAAGATTGAGAATACAACTGGCATTTGGAACAAAAATTATACCCATTATATATTGCAGCTTGCGGCGATAATTGTGAACATCATTGAAAACCAGCGACGCCAAAATTATCATCTAATCATTCTCTCCACTTTAATCTCTCCATCCTATCAACACTATCTTTTCGTCAATTTGTCATCATATATTTGTTTCATTTGTTACAGATATAATATTCAGAGTATCCCGAAGCTTGACATTCTAATTTATATGAATTTAAAATAAAAACCCTAAAGCTATCATCATTTAATTCCTGTAATTTTATCAAATGTGACATCAACGTCATCATCGTTGTATATTGCCGTCCCATTCACCCAATTTTATTTTACTATCCGAGATATGATGATGATGGTGATAATGCTAACGATAATAATAATAGTAATAATAATAATAATAATAATAATAATAATAACAATAATAATAATAATATTAATAATAATAATAGTAATAACAATAATAGTAATAACAATAATAATAATAATATTAATAAAAACAATAATAATAAAAATAATAACGATAATAATAATAAATAATAATAGTAATGATGATAATAATAATAAGAACGATAATAATAATAATGACAATAATAATATTAACAATAATAATAATTATCAATATTATTATTATAACTATAATAATGATAATAGTAACAATAAAATGCACAGGAGTTTCTGTTAATATTATCAATATGAATTGGATAAGATAAGATAATACATTTTTATAAAATTAACATTAATTGATTTCTTCATCTTCCCAATCCTCGATCATCATTATTTTCTGCTTCTTATCATTTTTTTTGCTTATCATATCATTCATTCAATTCATTTCAATATATCCGATAATGATAAAAAGAAATTATCATTATCATTAATTGTTGATTACTGTATATAACGCTATAGAATGATGAATTTCTAATTTGTTCACAATGTAAACAATGAAAACATTGTTTTTAGACAAATATTATAATTTACTAATTAATATAAAAAGTAATTAAATTGAGTGGCAGAAAATAAAATCTAAAACTTTATACTTCCTTAATGTTTAAGTATAAATTTTTAGATTTTATTTCCTAAATAACTGGTTTAAGATTAATTAATTAATTAATATAATCGGATGCTATGTAACATTTTGATAATTCACAAAAAAAAAAATGGAATAAATCGGTGAATAACTGGTATTAATGGTATATGTATAACAAAAGAACTGGTATATTTTCAATCAAGCAGAATGAAACAAAAGAAGTTAAGGCAAATGATTTGCCAACCGAAAGATAATCTAATTCATATGACATTCAAATTAATTTAACCTATCTCTTTTTAAGTTAGATCAAAGATTGACAAATTACTAATTAATTAAAATCATTACATTTTAATTTATTTAATTATACAAACAATACAAATGAAATCAGAAAATTTTCATGCCAATAAAATAATTAATTAAGTTTTATATTTTACAAGAGATTAAAAAAATCTTAGATGATAATGAAATTTAATATGACAATGTGAAAAAAAAAGAAATGTATTAATTTTTCAATTCAAATTATCCGATTGATTTAATTTATGAAATCTATTGTCTTAGCATTAATTCAATTTTGGAACATGATAGTGAAATTTAATAGAACAATGTGAAAAAAGGAATGTATTAATTTTTTAATTTAAATTATTCGATTGATTTAATTTGTGAAATTGATTTAATCTATTGTCTTAGAATTAATTCAATTTTAGGACTTTTATGAAATTAAGATGACTGATTAAAAGTATGACAGAATCATTTCAATTTAAGAAAATGTTAGAATTGCTTCTACGTGAAACATTTTATCCCTTCGTCGGGGAAGATAATTTGCATATTTATGCTACCAACATCAAAAAATTCTTGAATATTTCTTGAAGGTATAACAAATCGCGGTGGAATTATCCAACGAACTGAACGATAGCATGGCTGCAACGAATTAATTTTTGATAATGAATTAATTACTTAAATTAAAATTGTTTAAATGATAATTATTTGTTCATGCTATTCTTTGAAGGTACAACAAATCGTGATGGAATTATCCAGCGAACTGAACGATAACATAGCTGCAACAAATTATTTTGGTAACGAATTAATTACCTAAATTAAAATTGTTTAAATAATAATTATTTGCTCATGCTATTCTTTTTATTACATTTACCGATAGAAAATAGTGCACAGTTGTAAGATTCAAATTTAATTAATTTGAAATGATAAATCAATTACTTAAATTATAATGTTCCTAAGTGCAATCAATGAAGGATATTTATTTATTTAACTTTAATCTAATATTGATTCCAATCCTATCCTAAATTTATCTTCTGTAGTTTGTAGGAAAAAATACATTATTTATGTGGTGGCCCAAAATTCAATCTTCCATTTTTAGGAAATTATCCAATAATGAAATTTGTTGAATCTTTTTTGATACTAATTCAATCATTTAGCTTTTCCCGCTTTTA